ATGTGACTGAGAGAGTTTCTTTTAAACTAATATATGGTGAGAGTGCTTCCAATAGCTTTAGGTAAAGGAAAACGACCATAAATCCCGAGCATACTCCGAAGAGATCCTTAATGATTTCCCAACATTAACAATAGAATTCTCCACTAAACCCATCAATTCCAGGAACACTTGTTGCATTATGACTGAAAACCGTATTCCGGAGCTCTTCCATTGTTATTTGTTTGATCAAGCATTCATTATCTCGATGATTAAGGATAGTTGGAACATGCTGTAGGAGCTTTACTCTAGGTTCTTCTCTGCCTTGCATATTTTCCTCTTGCAGCAAGTTTGTACAAAAGCTAATTGCATGATTCTCAATTTCAGCAATATCCGGGGTCCATCTCCCATCTTTTAACCTTAATTTTATTTATTTATACCCAATTCGTGTTTTCTCTTCTTTAGCAAAGCAGGAAAAGTGTTGTCATTAAATTTCCTTCTTTGAGCCATTTTAGTTTCATTTTTTTTTATGGAGAAAATCTTCATGCTCTTTAAGTTTTAAAAAAAGGTGCGCTTCAGTTTCGTTCACCACAATTCTATTTTGGGCCTCGTTTAAATTCCAGCTCTTTGATCGCTGACCAATTCCTTAGCCGTTTGAAGATTAAGAAACACATCACCAAGTGAGTCTTTGTTCCACTCTTTCAAATTCAACTTAGCTTTTGATCATCGAATTTTAACAAAAATGCATGCATATACACCATATCCTTGCGCTATACTATCTTTTCTTTTTACAATCTCTTGTTGATTTTCTGCTCTCTCTTTTTGGCTACTCGGGTGTTCCAGTCCATGTGGGATTAGGTTGGTTGTTGCTCTTACCGTTTGAATCAAACCCTGGTTGTTTAGCTTGTCAAATTGGAAATGAGTTTAGCCTATGTTACTGCAGAATAGGAGGCAGAAAGAAAGGGTGTTGATCAAACAATTTATTTTTTTTCAGTTTTTAAATGGTCCGTGACTCAGTATAATTCAAACTTTTTCCAGTCATGTAGATCCTCACAAATGTCGAAAAGGTAATTTTAACTTCATGTTCATTTTATATTTTTTAATTGATTAACGATGGTTATTAATTTACGATTAATCCTTTAATTTCAAATGTAGGGAACTTGGGACATGGTGGTGGAAGCTATTGTATCAAAAACTGAGCAAATCTCATATAAAGCAATAATAAAACTTAAACTTGACAATATTTTTTAACCAGTTACAAAATAGTCCGACTTAATAAAATGACAGCACAATTCAGTCGGTGTTAATCAAAGATCTCAATGAGATGACAATATTCTCCTCGTAGTAGAATACATCACTTTGGCAGCTATCAAGAAAAATAGAAGAGACTTGTGTGGTGGTATATGCAGCAAAACCGTTTCGAACTCTCTCTTGGTTGGGTCATACAAGTAGAGAGACGTCCGTTGGATTGCGCTTGAAGTCATAACCGGTAATAATCACTGCCTTTCCATTGGGAAGAAAACCCTCAAAGGTTTTCAGTTGGCAGGTGGAATTTTTGGTTCATCAGCCCATGTCCATCCTGAAGTTTTGCCAATCCCATCATTACAACATCGTGTAATGAATACCCGATCGTGTCGACGATAAAAGATATCATCAGATATGAGAGCAAGACTAATCCCAAAACTTGGTAAAAATAGAATTTCGCTGGAGCCTTGGTGGGATTGGAATCGGCGGGAGTGGAATGCGTCGGAACTTCTGTCGACCTAGATCAAATGCTATAATGTCAATCTGATCCTCCTTTGTATTTTGAACATTCTATCCAGTATAAAAATCCATCCAGACAATGGCTCTCAGTGCTTAGGCTTATGGGCGGGGGATCAATGGTTCTCCATGATGAGTCCATCCCAATTGTGAGGTTTCACGTATCTCAGAGGGAATCCTCAGCAACTTGTAGTACAAGTCATTGGCAGGATCGAACCCGAAAAAGTAATCGTAATTTCTATAAGGTGGATGATTTCTTGCCATTGCCAAAGGGAGTTCCATGCTTTCATGTGTGGCAACGTTGTAGAGGACTGACAAATTACAATAGAGCAATTCACAAAAATAAAAACATACCAAACCACACACAAATTCAACGCAAACACAAAACAGCACCATCCTGAATTTTTCAACGACAAAACCGATTACCATCCGAAAAATATTGCCATCTCGTACCACTATTCTTTTTTTTTTCCTTAATAAAAAAAATACTACTTGTTTTATCATTCACAACACTATTTATCAACAAGTTTATTAAGAATTTAGTAACAAAGTGAGAAATGTTTTCTTAGACAATCATGAATTAGATGTTATCGGCTGGTTTCTGCTATGAATGCTCAGGTTTACTTATCACATCATTTGTAGATAATTTTAATATGGTAATTCACTTGCCTATCTAAATTAAGCCTTTTAAATTTGATATGAAATGGACCAATAGAATAGTTTCCCAACAAGTTACTTAACAAATATTTCTTTCACAAATTTTGTGTGTGTGTGTGTGTAGCAAGCTGACATTCTGATTCGATTCCAAAACAGTAAATTTCTCGACTTTTTTTTTAAAAAACAAACTATAAAAAAGAGGCGGTTAAAGGTTTTAAATAATGTGCACAGCCCACGACACGACTCAACCTTAATCCATCACATTCCAAACTTCATGCATAAATTAGTGATAAACCAACAGATGTGATGTCTTTTCAACAATGGTTCAATCAAAATGAAATTCTGGTCAATCAAGAACTCCCTCGAGTTGATTTGATAAATGACATTCAAAGTGCTCAGACCTACTCAGGTAAATCTTTAAACTGAGGCAGTTTCATGTTCAACCACAGTGATTTTAACTCAGTTTATAAAAAGAACTCCCAACAAATAAAATGCTCAATTAAAAGAACAGTGCTCTTAAAATTAAAAGCATCACAGCAAATTCAACTCAGACGTGAGATCAACTCAGCAGCAAACAAAATTTATGTATCATAACCAAATAATAATACTATTAATTTCTCCTCATATCTAATGACTCGGAAAGAGGATCAAGGTAATATCACATCTTATCAAATCTCCCAAATTTTTAACTTTCCTCATCTATTCCCAATCCCTGGATAAAGACACTAATAAAAAAAAGAACAAAGTAAATTAATAAATCATGAATCAAACTTCCCACTGAAACAAATATTACCAAACACACGAGTAAAAGAAGAATAGAAAAAAAAATTATGGTTAACCTTGGCAGGCCGGTTCGTGATGACAAGGGTAACTCCGCAGGCAATGATGAATTATATATAGAAGTTCGAGGAATCCAATTCCAAGAGGGTTGGGGATTTTCTCCTAATCGGACCACGAAAGTAAAACATATATTACATTAACTATGAGAATACATCGTTATTTATCAGAACCCAAAAAGGAGGAAAATTTACAAATCAATTTTAGGTTGCCTGAGCAAAAAAAATTGGTTCTGGTCGAGGAGTGGAGAGATATTATTATTATTATTTTTTTTTTTTTTGTGGACAAAAAATACCCATCTCGGATTTGCCTAATCCAATTTACTAACCCTTAAATTAGTAACTCAGATTTGGAAAATTTGACCTATTAAAATAATAATAATAATTTTATTTTCAAATATTGTGGGAGAAAAAAAAATCTGGTCAAACAGTGAAACTCAGATAAATCTGACCATTTTTTTTCGAAAAAGAAAAAAAAAATCATGAAGAGCGAGAAAGTTTGAAAATTTATTTTGAGAAGTTTAAAAATTTATTTAGGGTGGGAGAAAAAGGAAAATATGTTGAACTGTAAAATTCAATATCCGAACTACTTTCTTTTTTTAAAACAAAAAAAGAAAAGAAAGAAAAAATATCCTTAAGTGAGAGAATTTTGAAAATTCTGCATGAGTTTTGGTAGGAGTTCACATTAAATTGACCAATTCACTTTAAAAAAATTAAAAATTAAAAAATATTGTATTACATATGATATTAATAAAATCTGATGTTACTAATAATTACTAATTATTTGGTTGGAATTTGTATTAAATTGATGAAAAAAATACATATACTAGTGGTATGTATTACTGTTAATACTGTTAGGAATTTGCATTAAATTAACTGATACGAATCTGTCTGTACTAGTGTTATGTAGTATCCTTACGTACTAGTGTTATGTAGTATCATTACTATTGTTGTTTGTTACTCACTATATATCGCTAGCATTAGTGTTATTTATTACATCAAATATTAACTTCTAAATTTAAAACTAAATTTTGATTTATACCCAAATTTTATTTATAAAGTTTCTTCTAAAATCAAATATTCACTTCTAAAATCAAATATTCATTTCATATTTGATTTTATTAAAGTTTTTAAAAAATCAAGGAGAGTTCCTATGAGCAATAAAAAAACAAAAACTCAAGGAGTACTTTTCTGGCTAAGTTCATGCGTATATATTAATTTTCAGTCGACGGATGAACCTTTTGATCAATCACTTTTCGATTAAAAGATTTTTTTTATATTGTTTTAAAATTATAAGGGTGTCTTACGTAATCAACTAAACATTGAGGGTGTCTTTTTTATATTAATCCTAAAATCAAATATAAATTTGTAAATCCAAATTATAACCAAATAATGGAGATTTATAAATTGAGAGCAAAATCTTATCAATTGTCAATAAACAATTTTACATGATTCCCAACTGTGACTTGACTTTTGAGAGTCCCAAAAAGGTCAGGAGACTCAGGACACGCTCAATTGTAAAATTAGCAGAGTTCAAACACCAAAATGCCTTCGGGGTATGGGGGAGGGATCACCATGAATAAACTCATTCAATTGCAAAATGATCATTCTACTAACCTTTCTTTTTTTTTAGGAAAAAGAAAAATTCTATTCGATCGGTTGAAAACTGTCCAACTGTGTTTGATAATACAAGGAAACATATTGACTAACAGGGGCAATCTTTTTATTGTGATCAATATGAATTGAACAATGTAAGAGTCAAATTTAAGCGGGAAAAGAACGTTACGAGTAGCTAGTAATGAATTGAATTCTTTGCATATGCTATGAAGACAGAATAGCAAAAAACTATTTCTTATTAGCAAAACAACCCCTAAATTACCATTAAGAAATGCCTAGAGGCATTACAAAAAGAGACTAGAGAGATCTTAGCCTAATTAATCCCCCAATCATCCTAGCTAAACAAGATTCAGATCATAATCAGTCGCATCTGCGACCTAATTAAGAACGATCCCAAGGAAAAGGTAAAGTTTAACTAAGGAAAAAAAATTGGCTCAAAAATTTAAAAATCTGGTAACTCTTTCATGCCCTCCAACGTAGAAGATGACAGCGAGCTTCTTATATTAGGCATATAGAACAAAGAAGAGTCCTCCGAATAGTTATAATTAAATGGTGGCTGATTTGTATGATGATGATGGGATGAACCCAAGAAATCCGTCGAACCCGGGTTGAAAAACGGGATGCCGTTGAAACACGGGTTCGGAGCCCCAGCAGCCGCCGGGTCAAACATCGGGCGGGGCACGAAACCCGAATTGACCTGCGCCTCTCCGAAGGCAGAGCCACTGCTTCCTCCGCCGCTGCGGGTGCCGCTGTTATTATCTTCCGTCACCACCGACGTCGACTCGTTGTCGTCGGACATCGCCATCGCCGCCCCATTGTCGATTTTCTCATCAATATTTGACGACGCGGATCTAAGCTTGTGGTTATTGTAATTGTTGGGACGATCTGGGTGGTCGTCCTCGTCGGAGCGGGATAGTCCGGTGAGTTTCTGAACCAGGGCCATGAAATCTTTCGGGTGGGTGTGAATGATTTTCGGAGAATGGGTGTAGATTATCACGGGGTGACGCTGCTGATGATGGGATTTGTTAGTGGCGTTGGATACGACACCGTTAACGAGAGACGAGGTCGACGAAGACGAGGACGACGAAGGAGATGATGACGAGGATGATGATTTCTTGATGAAATGTGAATCCTTGTTGATTTTCAAGGGAAAGGAGGATGAAATTGAAGGAGATGGGCTCAATTCCTTATTGGCATGGGGATTAATATCGTTGAATTGAGCTGGGCTCATGATTTGCTGGGGGCAAAAAAAAAAAAAAAATTATAATGGAAAGTTTTGCTAAGCTAAATCAGCAACAATGGAAATCTGAGGTGAGGGATGTTCATTCATATAGACGGAGGAGGAAAGGAGTTAAGCTTAATCTAAGTATGAAAAAATGTGTGTTTTTTCATCTCACCAGTTAGTAAATTACATGTGTATGTGTGTGTGTGTGTGTGTGTTTTCCCTAATTTATTTGTGTAAAAAATGTAGTAAATTATGAAGGAAATATGTAAATGAGGTGGAGCGACAGATTGAAAGAAATTGTGGTTTGAAAAAAATGGAGGATGAGTGATTATCGGAGATCAGTTTTAGCTGAGGGAATAAGAGAGTGAGTTTGTTTTTCAGGTAGTGCTTATATTTGCAGTTTGTCTCGTGTTTACCGTATTTGTTTTAACTCGTGTTTAGTACATACATTTCGTGCAACCAAATTATAATATCACGTCGATTTTAGTTTGTCTAGTATAATTTTATAGGATATATAAAGCACATTCTGATTCGAGTTGAGTAGTATGACTATTATTTGTTAATGTAACACGACATTGTTGACAAAATTATCATGTGGTTAAGTTAATAGATAGGATTAGGAAAAGCAAAAATATATTGGGTATTCACATCTTCTTTTTACTCTCTCAAAGTAAAAAAATACTTTCTACATTTAATAACAAAAATTCTATTGTCATGGCCTAAAATATCGTAGCATATCTAACCAAACATTTTTATACACTCCTAAATTAGAAAATATTTTTCAATTGTTCTAGTTCATTAATTTAGTGCTAATTTCTGATGCATCCTATATTATGGTTCTCTCTTGTTCACACATGTACTAAGCAATTTAATATGTTTCCTTCAATTTCTAATTACACAAAACTAAACTAGGTGTTAGACCCGTCCGATGGACGGAGAAGGCATACATATTTAGACATTTTTACATAAATTTTGTATTTTTATAAAATATGTAATGACTTCAGTTTTAAACATGATTACCTCTGGATTTACATGAATTTATTTTTTTTAAATGACATTTTAAATTCACTGATGATAAGGTTTATGCAGATCTCTCTAAAATTTATTAGGATTTGGTACTCTCTCCAATCAATCTCTGTGTTAGGATTTGGTTCATGAAAATAAGGGTTCTGTTTTTATTATTTTGTTTTTTTTTTAATAATTATTTTAGTTATTTTTTTTGTTTTATTATTTTGTTTTGTGCATTTTTAAGTCTAAGAAATTAAGAAAATGCCATATATGATTTAATCCTAAGTGACATGTACTCCATGCCTTTAGTTTTCTCTCTCTAGGTTTTGCCTTAGTATAGTATATAGATAGATCAGTAGAAGAAATGGAAGCGAAGAAATATCAAAACAGATGTGTGACAAATTACTTTCATTATTTGAATACGTTACAATGTAACAAGCTACATCATTGTGCATGGCGGGAACCAATCCATCCATCAAACAACTAAAAAAACTGGATTTTTCCTAAGTTATGGTGGGGAGTTTGACATTCAGCGTTTTGCGATTTGTTGTTGGAGCCACCGTAACGTTGACAGATGAGGAGGAGAACGAGTTCAACCCTAGAGGATGAAAATTGATCCTGACTTGATAATTTCCATGGTAAAGTGAAGTTTCAAAATAGCCATTCGAATCAGTGGTGCCGGTTAATCCCTCCAGCAGTTTCCATTCGCCGAGAAGTTTGTCGACCACATTTCCGGTCGGAAGGTTCTTGAAATTGTTGTCCGTCAAACACATTCTGTAGCATCCACTGGGAGACCAAGCAGTCCATAGAACGATTCCATTAACACCAGGATGTGAATGTATTTCCCTCATAATTTGTTCCAAAAATTTCGCCTAGAGTCGTGACATATAAATATAAATAAATTCCGAATTAGCATATAGTCGTGTGACAAAGTATTTTAAAATTAAATTGTATAACAAATACGAGATTCAATCATTCAATTGAATTTTTTTTTTACCTGATTTGGACCGCTGGAGACATCCAATTCAGTAATCCAAATGGGTAATTTTGCAGAAGCAAGTGTATCCAAGGAGCTTCTTATATAAGCCATATCAGGAGTCCCTTCAAAATGTCCCTCGAGCCCGATTCCAAGTGGACCATTATACCCACCGGATCGGAGCTGCTTAATCTTTTGCAGATAACTCGCCGGACCTGATTTCTGATCACTTTTCTGTTCAATCGTATTGTAATCATTCAGAAACGGGATCGCCGTCGGATCAATCTGCCGAGATTTCTGAAAAAACGTAGTCGACGCAGACGGTCCAAGTTTATTCTCAAAGAAATTGAAATGCAAATTCTCATTCATAACGTCCCAGTGAATAAGCCGTCCTTTGTACCTCGACACCACGGATTGGACCCTTTTGTCCGTGGCCGTTTTAAGATCGGCCGGCGAAAGCGAGGGAACCCAAGACGGTTGGAATTTCGGATCGTCCCAGAAAATGTTGTGGCCTCGAACAGAGACACCATTTGTTTTGGTGAATTGCATTAGTGCATCGGCAACAGAGTAGTCTTCTCTGCCTCGGGTGCTCTCTGTGCTGTACCATTTCATCTCATTAGCAAAAACTGTGAGTTTGAATCTCTTGTTGAACCAGTTTTGGTAGGCTTGATTGTTCAGGATATCAGCGTTGATTCCGCTTCCAATTGGGAAAGCTGCATTACTCTGTTCTATGGAAATATTTGTATTTGCTAATGGCTGACCTTGAGGATCGACTACTTGGAATCTGACTCTGTTTTTGCGTACCTAATTAGGAGGAAAAAAAGATAATCGAAGAACCCATTAATTATTTGGTGAAATCATATGTATAATCATCAATCTAGTATACCTTTTCAACGCTTTGTATTTGATGGGACGTCCATTCAGCTTGAGTAAAAGGTTGGACTGAAATGCTGTCGACCATAATGTCAACATTTGCATCTTCATTCTGGTTAAGAGAATACAATAAAATGTAATAATAATTAAACTTTAAAGTGTTACGATGTAATAATTATTGGGCAACAATTTGACTAAAGAGACTTGGAATATACTACAAACCAGGAAATAAAGCTCTGAAACTCCGGCGGTAGAAGCATTGGGAGTTATACCGCCCTTTAGCATGGACCAGCAGCCGGATCGCGCTATGGCCGTACCGGCGAGTACGAAGTTTCCGGCCGATGATTTGAATGCAGCGGTGATATGAGATACTCCATGACTTACTCGCACCCATGCTGCACAAGTTTCAAAAAAGAATTCGTATTTGTTATAGTGGCACCAACCAAATAGTTACATATCGAATAAAAAATAAACGGTTATAATGAAAAAAAGATATTATATTATGATTATCAAGTGCGATTTACCGGAAATCACATAAAAATTTCCTTCGTGCAATGTTAAAGTTTGTTTTAAACTATCGTATGATTTATTTCGAGCATAGGCAACCACGAAGTTGTTGGCATCTTTTGGGTCAACTCTTTTTGTTAATTTGGCTTCTCCAAAATTTGACCATCCTTTTAAGCCTTCTTCGTTAAACTCCGGGTTTACAACGATTCCTCCTCCATATTGAGGTTTAAGTGGACTCGTCAAACACTGGGGATGAAAAATTTGGGGAAAAAAACAATCATTTTAGTTATGTTTGATTTTTTTTTAAAAAAAAAATAATAATAAAATGCTTGATTATTTTAATAAATTAACTAATAACTTGCCTCAGAGGCGTAACTATAGTCGTATGATAATCCATTGACTTCAAAAACTGCAAGAAATGTTCACCAAAAAATTGTTAAAGAATGAAAAAAATAAATAAATGTAACAACTCAACGATAGTTAAGAAATATGTAGTATTATTAAGTATAAAGTATTTGAAACCTGAAAAAAAAAGAAAATAAAATAGCTCGATTCCAAGCACCGCGCGGTAACTCCAGGACACCATTGTGGCAATGGCACTTCAACAGAATTAAAATTCAAAAGTTTTTTTTTTTTTAAAAAAAAAGAAGAATCAGAATAAATGGGGAAAAAAAAATTGCACATTCACTATGGATATTAGAGAACTAGCAGTTCTTGCGCTGAGCTAGTTTTCTTTGTAGGATAGTAAATTATGTGCACGTATTTATAATGAGAAAATTGATAACCTAAAGTAATTAAGTAATTGATTAATTTCCTCATAATATTTGGTAAGCAAATATTGTGAGATATGAATTTATTCTCAAATATCAAAAATTGTATCACTTACTTAATTTCATCAAAGAGCTTGAGATCCATCTTCCATTTAGTTAATGTATTTCCTTCATTTACTGGGCTCCTCTCCATAAAATAATAATATAACAACTACTTTAATCTATCAACAAAACCATAACATATGCTTAGAGCCTATTCAGTTTTATGCTATGATTCACAAATGCGCTGACAGTAGTTACTAATTAATTCATTTTGATTTTCCTGCAAATGCATTTGTTTTTCACTTTTCTGTGACAAGAAATCTTTAGACTAAAGTATCTACGCATATATTATAGGAAAACTGACTACGCTTAGGCTTCAGATTAAAGGAGACGAGAGATCTCCAAAGATCAGAAACAATTAAACAAAATACAGGAATTCAGTGTGACTAGAATCACCTAAGAGATTTTGCTCTACAAATGTGATACGTTAGTTATTGGTCATTATTCTCAATTTCTTTCTCCTCTTTCCCACTAAAGAACGAAAGATGGAAAAAATAGTTTGATTTTTTTTTTTGTTCGTATTGAGCCATAGCTTGATTCAGTATGTTTCAATGGGCCTCATTTTATTTATTTTGGTCTTTCACAGGGCCTCATTTTGGTCACAACTTTGGTGTCAATTTCCGGCGAAAATCAGCCGGATTAATCGACTAAAAGAAATAAAAGGGACTATGAAAAAGAAATACAGTAAAACAAAATTCAACTTTTCTTCAATGACCCCTCTGATCCTTTGCAGCCGCGATTATATTCATCGTGCTGGCTCATAATACAGAATGATTCCTCCTAATACATATGAGTCAACAACTCACAGTTATTTTTATAGATATTTCAACCATCTCCCGAAAAATAGCAAAATAACAATAATTTAGGAAATAATTAGAACTGTAATAAATCTGTCCAAATAGTCTTAACTACACCTTAAGGACATAACTTACGAGAAATGACAATCAAACTCCTTATGCGTGACACCTCCCTCCCTGTAAAAGAAAACTTGACCTCAAGTTTTGAACCCGGGAAACTGACTGCGAAGGAACCCGTGATCTTCCCAAGAGGCCTCTTCAGAGTCGAATCCCTTCCACTAAATCAACAGTTGTGTTACTTGGTGGTCATCCCTCTTATTGAATCTCCTCTGGAGTATTTTATCAGGCTGTAAAGTGGCTTCTTCAACAATGCTCAAGTCGGGTAACACCGTCAGCCTAGCTGGTTTATTGCCATGGTGTTTCTTTAAAAGAGAGACATGGAACACAGGGTGAACTTTGGACTGAGAAGGAAGTTCGAGCTTGTACGCGACTTCACCCACTTTGGACAGAATTTTGTAGGGGCCATAGCACTTGTAAGCAAACTTCAGATACAATCTTGCAGCAAATGTAGTCTGTCTATAAGGCTGCAACCCAGTCCCCAACTTCTAGTACCCTCTCAGACCTCCTCTGATCAGCATAATCCTTCATGCGTTGTTGCGCCTTAGACAAATTGTTCTGCAAGAGTTTGAGGACCAAGGCCTGTTGCTGTGTCATTTCTTGAGCTGCTGGAATAACTGTATCAGAGAAGGGTCCTAATGGAAATGGCTGCGGCTTTATTCCATACAGAGCTTCAAGCGGTAACATTTTCAGGCTAGAATGATATGATGTATTATACCACCACTCAGCCAAAGGAATCCATTGGCTCCAAGTGGCTGGTTTTTCGCTGCAAAAATATCTCAGGTAGGCTTCCACACATTGGTTGACTCGCTCGGTTTGGCCATCCGTCTGCGGGTGATAAGCAGTGTTGTGTTTGAGTTTGATTCCCAGAAGCTCGAACAATTTCTGCCAGAAGAAGCTCGTAAAGATTTGATCCCTGTCAGTGACAATATTATTAGGAAGACCGTGCAATCTGAAGATCTCTCTCACAAAAGTTTTAGCCACCTTGGATGAAGTGAGGGGAGGTTCTAGTGCGATTAAGTGGCAGTATTTAGTTAGCCGGTCCACCATCACCAGAATTGTATCCATTTTCTGAGAGGGAGACAACTTTACTATAAAATCCATTGAAATACTCCTCCAAGCTTGTTGAGGGATCAGCAAGGGTTGCAAAAGACCTGGGTACCGGACATGCTCATCCTTACATCCTTGGCAAGTCTTACATGTTCTGATGAACTCCACCACATCTTGTTTCATTTTAGGCCAATAAAATAAAGATTTCAACCTTTGCAGGGTCACATTCTGTCCTGAGTGTCCCCCCAGCGGCGAAGAATGGAAAGCTTCCATCAAAGACATTCTGATGTCCGGTTCAGCGCCCACATATAACCTGCCCTTTTTCCGGAGTAACCCTTGGACATATTGGAATTCAGATTTATCATCGGGGTCAATGCTAAAGAAGTAATATGTTGCTGAGCAAACTCATCATTATTATAGTTGTCCATGATCTGAGTCATCCACACGGGTTGTACGGTAGTTATGGCATAAAGCTTAGACTCACCTTGGTCACTTTTATCAGTCACCTCTCGTTCCGTTCTAGATAAAGCATCGGCTGCGTTGTTTTCCTTGCCCATCTTATACTGTATCACGTAGTCATACCCCATCAGTTTGGTAAGCCACTTATGTTTCATGTTGTTGGTGATCTTCTGCTCCAGCAGGTACTTCAATGATTGATGGTCGGTACGTATGATGAAATGAACTCCTGCTAAATAATGCCTCCATTTAGAGACTACCAAGATCAATGTTATCAGCTCCTTTTCATACACCGATAACCCCCTGTTCTTCTCATTAAAAGCTTTGCTAATGAAGGCGATAGAATGACCATCTTGCATAAGGATTGCACCCATTCCCAACTCACTGGCGTCCGTTTCCACCACAAATAGCATAGTGAAGTCCGGAATTTTAAGCACCGGAGCTGTTGTCAAAGAAAGTTTCAGCTTCTGAAATGCCCACTGTGCTCCTTCATCCCAGCAAAATGCATTCTTTTTCAGTAAATTCATCAGTGGTTGACAAATGACCCCATAGTCTTTAATGAACAGCCTGTAGTAACCTGTGAGTCCCAAGAAATCCCAAGTGCTTTTACCGAAGTAGGGATAGGCCATTGTTGTACACTTTCCACTTTTTGACTGTCCATACTAACTCCTTCTTTAGAGATGGTGTAGTTAACAGAGGATTTTGCAAATGAGCATTTACTCAGCTTAGCATAAAGTTGGTGTTCATGTAAGACCTTCAAAGTACTTCCACATGTTTCAAATGATCATCCATATTAGAGCTAAAAATTACAATATCATCAAAGAAAACTAAGATGAACTTCCTCAAATAAGGAGCAAAAACCTGATTCATCAGGGCTTGAAAAGTAGCTGGTGCGTTAGTCAAGCCAAACGGCATCACCAAAAACTCAAAATGGCCGCGGTGGGTCTGGAATGCGGTTTTCGGGACATCCTCCTCATGGACACGAAGCTGATGGTATCTGGATCGCAGGTCCAATTTGGTGAAAACAGTAGCTCCGCCCAATTTATCCAACAGCTCGTTTATAATCGGTATCAAAAACTTATCTTTTATGGTCATTTCATTTAATCTTCGAAATTCAACACACAACCTCCAGGAACCATCTTTTTTTCTTGTCAAGATAACCAATGATGCATAAGGACTGGTGTTGTGTCTTGCTATGCCTTGTTTCAACATCTCATTAACTTGTTGCTGAATTTCGTTATTGAAGGCATGAGGACACAGGTAAGGAGCAATTTTGAAAGGATAGGACCCCACCCTCAACACAATTCGGTGGTCTACTGGCCATTGGGGAGGTAATGACCTGGGGATGTCAACACAGATTGATACTTGTTGATAAGTCTAGCAAAAGTTTCAGGTACCTCCAGGTTCACAACATCATTCTCAACTCCTTGCATGGCCTGGAGTTGGATGGCAAAGACTCCCCTCCTATTTTCTTGAGTAAGCTCTTGGCTTTCTATATCCCTGATCATCTGCATGCTAGAAGCGCTTCCAATTCCATACAGGATGTACTGTCTTCCGTACTTACTCAGCCTGATTTGCATATCATGAAAATCGAAGGTAACAGGACTATAGTGAGCCATCCAGTCGACTCCCAATATCATATCGTAACCACTCAACTTCATAATCTTCAAATCATAGCTGAATTTAAGTTGTTGATGTCCCATCTCAGTTTTAGACAGATTAAACAACCAGATACCTTACTGCTATTACCAACCGTTACAGTATACAACTTAGATTCGGCATAATGCAGTTGTAAGTTCATGACCACCTTTAAATCAATGAAGCTATCGGTACTGGTGCTACCGGTATTAATAAGAATTTGCATGATTCTACTCCCAATCTTACCCTTAACTAAGATAGTTTGCTTAACTGGATTCACGGAAAGGACATGCAATGATCCCTCATCCAAGGTTAAGTCGTTTAAATCAATACCATCATCAATTTCCAACTCAGGCACATCAACAATATTAATCTTTTCATCATTCTCATCAACAATCAAAACATTAAACTGTCTAAATTTGCACCTATGACCGGGAACATACTTTTCAGCACACTTGTAACATAAGCCATTGTTGGTTCTATACTTATATTCTTGGGGACTAAGGCGTTTAACAAAATCAAAGTTGTAACCCTTTTTTGTATCAGGTTTAGAATGCTCACCAGACTTCTATTGAATATTCTGACTCCTTGCTATATGAGTTGTTGAAGTTTTCACATTTTTTAGAGTAATCTCCAAATTATTTTCTTGGAGCAGAGCAAGGTCGTAGACAACATTCAAATTCGGATGAGGAAACATTCGAACCATTGGCTTAAGTTCCTCCTTTAAGCCACTGATGAAACTTGAAATGAAATAAGATTCTGACAGTCTTGGATCTTTGCACAACATTCTTGTTCTCAGTTCTTCAAAACGCTCCTGGTAATCCCTTACACTGCCCTGCTGCAACAACTTGTTGAACTCGTCAATTTCGTCTTGCCCACCCTTGTCTTCAAACCGTCTGATGAGTTCATTGCTAAATTCCATCCAAGACATATTCGGCTTAAGCATTTTCATGGCTTGAAACCAAGGTTTAGCCTTCCCCTCCAAATAAAGCTCTATTTGCTCCACCTTCCATTGTTCTGGCACTTGATTAAGTAAAAAAGAATTTCTGCACTTACGAAGCTAGTTATGGGGGTTGCTATTACCTTCATACATGGGCAAATCCATCCTTGGCAAGTTAAACATTTGCTACCGAAATCCCCTCTCCCTTGTATTGTTCGCGAAGTCTGTATCCAGAAAGGATCTGGATGAGCTTGCCGGTGTCAGAGGTATCGGAATTGCAGAAGTAAAAGAGGCCGGAATTCCACCCGGTGGAATATCCCCAAATCTCATCGGAGCTTTGTCCTTGGCTTGAATCGGTTGTGAAATCGTCGATTGAGCTAATGTTGCAATAAGATTCTCCATACGATCCATATGAGATTTGTTAGCCACGTTCTGAGCCTCCATCACCGATTTGAATTCCGTTAATTTCCCGTCAAGGTGTGAATTCAAGCGTGTTGATAACTCCGCCACCACCGCTTCATTCTTGCGAATCTGTTCATCTTGCTTTCGAATCTGGTCCTCCATATGCTTGATCGAACGTGTTCCATCAGCCATCACTGCAACGCCGAGGAATCCCCAGCTCTGATTACCAAGTTGTCAGCTTCCGGCGGAAATCAACCGGATTAATCGACTAAAAGAAATAAAAGGAGCTATGAAAAATAAATATAGTAAAACAAAATTCAACTTTTTTTTCAATGACCCCTCTGATCCTTTGCAGCCACGATTATATTTCTCGTGCTGGGTCATAGTATAGAATGATTCCTCCTAATCCATATAAGTCAGCAGCTCACATCTGTTTTTATAGATATTTCAATCATCTCCCGTAAAATAGCAAAATACCAATAATTTAGGAAATAATTAGAACTGTAATAAATCTGTCCAAATAGCCTTAACTACACCTTAAGGACGTAACTTATGAGAAACGACAATCAAATCCCTAATGCGTGACATTTGGCGATAGATTATCTGGTCTTTGCCTGCTTGCAAAATTTATGCTTTGATAAACCTACTACTTTGGTGATGTTTCTTGCCTAAGTACTTGAGGTTTCTGTATGTAGTTTGTAACTTTTATATGCAAAATAGAATGAAAACAACCTTTATTTTTTTTTAAAAAAAAACCCCTATACTGGGTAAAAAGTCTAAAGTAGCGATCTAGAGAATAAATCCTCCTACTGGAACCTGTATTTATAGATAAAAAAAAAAGAAGATCAATGATATACTTTTACAAACTGCATATTTCACAATATCTAATCCAATTATCATTAGAGTCGGGCAAATTGTTTTTAGGAGGTAAAATTCTCTCAATAAGAATCATAAATTTTTATGTAGGATTCTAGTTTTAGTTAAACTAACTTGTAGTTTAAAACTTGGACTAACACGTTTTTTGATAAAAGTGATGGTACAGTCGAGTGAAAAAAATATAATGAAATTTCTTAATTACGAAAGCTTAGCTAATAATACGGATAAAATTGTAACTTTTAGGGAAAAATAAAATTTTAATAGAAAAGTACTGACAAAATACATAGAAGTCATAATACTCTACATGTAAACTTTTTTTAAGCTATTTTTCCGTCTCTCATCCCAAAAATTATATTCTCATCCTTAATTACAATATTCACATAATAAATCACTATGAAAAGTCATTGTATTGTTTCACTAGCTCTAACACTACTCTTATCCACCGTGCATATTATTTTCTTATTGATAGTATCCTAAACGATTTGCAGTTATCAAAAAACTGATGAAAGAGTTGAAACCTCTCGGCTTTCTTGTCAATGTGTAGAGAGATTTTGGAAGTGGAAATTGATATCACAAATCACATGTACTGAAAATCAAAAGCTGGAAATAATCGAACCCACCACAAGCCCATTCCTGAAAGCAAATTCTAGGTCTAGGAATGTATTCCAACGTGTTATCTGATGGAATAAATTATTAAGGTAACATCAACCCATCAAAAGCTAGCCTATGTGGAAATGGAATATGATTCAGCCTTTAATCCCTTCACTTCTTTTTTCATTTGTTTCATTTTAGTTTTTATAGATAGTATATATACACATGCCTGTTAAATAAATAAATTTAAATATGGAACATGCTTGTTACTTTTTGTTCTTTTTAAAATATCAATGTACAAAAGTACTGGTGTACAAAAAAAAGTGCATTATAATTATCACGTAACGTTCAAAAAAATTATATGCAAGAATATCCTGAATTTATGAACTTCTAGTTCAAAAAACGTATATATAACTCATAAATTTCATTCGCCATGTGGAGTGATATATTATAATTTCTCCTAGCTACATGACTCATGTGCTCCAAAAAGTAATTGGGGGAATAAAATCTAAGGTTTAATGCAAAGCAGCTGGCTGTCTCCATTAATCCTACTGTGGTTCATGCTTGTGTTGAAATCTGATCCCTAAATACAAGACCAATTAAAAATCAAGTAGTAGAAAAATTTGCTTGAGGGCAGCAGGGTCGGATTGATAATTGTTAGCTAAGTACTAGAAATAACACATGAATGTTGCGAAATATGAAGACAAATACCTCGAGGGATGTCGTCTTCCACAGTACAGTCACATCTATTTTTCTAGGGCTTAATTTTTTCAGGTCCACAAAAGTTACATTTTGTCTCTTTTCTTCTTACAATTCATTATATCGATGTAGCTATTTTACTTACATAAATTGAAAGAATTTTAAATAAGTACTTCGATTACAAATGTTGTTAAAATTCGGAAGTTCCTTGATTTGAAGAGCATAATCCACCAATTTTTATGCATGAGTGGTCCATCATCTTTCAAATGTGTTAAAAAAAAATAAGAAAAAGATGTGGTTTCCCAAAATCTTGATTTCTCCTAACCACACGTTGAAGAACAAACCAGATAGTACTATAATTTTTAGAGGCACGAGGAACTTTTACCTATCTCTCAGCACTTCGAAAATAACATTTGTGGAGGGTGCATTTCAATTTCTCGATGTTGATAGTTTAGATAGAAAATATCATTTTAAGAAAATATTTTACTAATTTTACACTTATCCAAAATACTTGAAGGTTGCTCTTGATCGACCAACAGTGACTTATATATACTTCATTATTGTCGGAATATACGGGATCGTTATACATATTATGATTGCTTATTATAGGAGAGCACTAATATTTTTCTCTTTTGCTCCACCGATTTATTGTTTGAATCATTTTTTCGATGTGTATTTTTAAGTGTTATTTGTATTATAAATGTAAAAAATTATATTGAATATAAAAAAATATGTATGTATGGAACAATTATTAATTAATAATTATGATAAACTATCTAAAACGCTCCCAAACAGAGCCAATTTCATCGTAACATGAATATGATACTCTCCCGTCTCATAAAAATAGTCCAGTTTAATAAAAAAGTTTGTCCGAAAAAATAGTCTAATTTCACAAAAGTTAAAATTAATAGAATTGAAATGACTTAAATATCCAAAAGAGTAGTGGTAAGGAAAACAAGGTCCACTTCATTTGATTTTCATTTTTTTTTTTAGTTTTCTCCCATTTTGTCAAATGATTATATCTTTTGATGCATAAATAATTAAAAAATGTGTTGTATATCAAATTAGTCTACGTAACAAGAACTTTCCATCAAGATTCATTGTCAATTTTTTTTAGATAAAAATTTTGATCAAATTTAAGTTGTAAAATAAATGCATATGTAGTTAACTTTTATATAAATAACTAGAAGAGGTATTAGAGGAAGTTAGGAGCATAAAATGAGTTGTACATTTTCAAATTGGACTATATTTCTGGGACGGAGGGAGTATCTTTGTTTTTGGAACCGTAAGTATCACTTTTTTCTTTTATACAATTTTTAATACAATTCTTACAAGCACCTAGGCTATTACATGTGTGAGTATGGGAAAAGGAGACCTACTACTAGCCTAGTCTAGTGGGGGACGACTCCATGCCTGCAACGCCTTCTTTCCGCGCGTCCATCGGATGCTTGAAGACCTTCCAACTGCAACCTGCAAAGAAAGACAACATTTTATTGTCATGGAATTTCGAACTTGAGATCTCTAGTTTGGATCTCTAGCCCTTAACCACTTGATCACCTCCTGTTGGCTAAGTACCACTGAAGATGGAATAGAACTAGCACAATTTTTTTCGCCAAAAGTAAAACTTAAACTGTAAACAAGAAGTCAAGAATTAATATGCAACAATCCTTGTTGTTTTAATTCTTACCATTCACATTAACATGCAAGACACATGCCATCCATTACCTCAGCAAAAGAAAGAAAGACCGCGACGTGTTATAAACAAAAGAACGGCGGACAATTGAATTAGAAAAAGAAAATGTGCGGTTTATCTTCCAATTTATTATTCTTGAATTTAATTGCACTATTTATTATGCTCAAAAAGACAATGTCGAAAAGTATGAAAATGACATCTCAATTAAATCAAAGAACAAAACTAGAGAGAAAAGTATGTAAACGCGCCTCAATTACATTTAGGTCACCTTGATTTTGTAGTTAATCAATTTTGACCTTTTCGATTTCACAAGATAACATGCTAGTTTGAATTTTGGACTAATAATACTGGAGTATATTTATTATGTATATATTTAGTCTCCGAAATAAGAATAAAAATTTGATCATACTGGTTTTGAAGCAAGGATAATATATATATATATATGTATATACACAATTCAAAATAAGCAATGATAGAATTAATTTGATTCTTCATCCATGCCAACCTCAGTATGAATGAATTTTCTTCGATTTCGGTGACATTTTGATATATAGTACTCCCTCCGTCCCATAATTATTGTCCAGTTTTACTAAAATGAAAGATTTTATTTTTTGTCAAACTTAACTATATTTTACCTTAAACAACTGGATATATCCCTAGATAAGTAATTGTTTAACTACTAAGATTTTATGGATAATGTTTTTTACTAAGGATAAATGTGTAACTTATCCATAAAAAGTCAAATTGGACAATAATTTTAGGACAAAATTTTTAGGACAAAGTGGACAATAATTATGGGACGGAGGGAGTAATTCTAGATTTATTCATAAAAATATCTTACGCCGACTTTGATGATTCCGCTAGATTAGTTCTTTTAAAAGGTTTTAACTTTAACATTGTTCCACGTATTTCACATGTAAATACACTCATACTTACTCTTGTTATCGTTGAAATAACTGATTGTGGTACTTTGGCCACAATCAAACCATCCGCGTCCGACAATGATTTGGCAGCATTATATCTTGTCCGTGAGGGAAAAAAAGAAGAAGAATATATTTGTTTATTCGCTATATTTTTTTTTCTTGTACAAATAAAGAGGTAATGTATAAAAATAAACAAGTACTACCTCCGTCCCAAAAAGTAGTCCACATTATGTTTTTAAATTTGTATTAAAAACAGTATAAAATTTAAAATTCAATGTGGATTATTTTTGTAGGACGGAAGAAGTAATATATGAATATAAAATTCTATTTATGTCATGTTTCGACAATGATTTAGTTCCTAACGGTGAATCATTCTATCTCTACTACTTTGGGTTTTGCCATTTGTTTGTAGAAGTTAAATAATTAGTAACAAGATTTGACTCATGATGAACAAGCTAAAAAAGAGTCATGTAGGTTTTTTTTAACTAGCAAAAATGAGACTTTTTTGTACCTTGTAACAGTTAGCTTTTGAATGCAATTGAAATTTCCAAAAAAAAAAAATGAAAATGAAAAAGGAGTGAAAAACTTTGAACTTCACATTAATTCACAAAAAAATGAAAAGAAAAAGATTTGAGTAACTTCATGGATATAGAATTCTTATGAAATTCATTAAACCTTTTTTTTTTTTTTTTACAGTATCTAGTTTTTAGGGTTTTTTAATTTAATTAACAATTTAGACTTAAAAAAGCCTTAGGAATGGTATTGAGGAAAAGAATAATTAAAAGTAAACCTTTCATTAATAAATGGGAATTTTTAATTCTTGTTTTATTCTATCTATTTTTTAATTATTTGGAAATAGAGTCTGAAAGAGCCTATCATTAGGGTTGTAATGATTAGATATGTCCACTCCTTTTCATCAATTAATGAAAGTAACGTTTGAAAGAGTGCACATCTTGTTCAATAAATTCCTCTCTTCAAACAAAACAATTTATTTTATTGTAGTAACTAATACTACAATAAAATACCAAAAATAGATTTTTAGTTTAAGACGAAAAGAATATTATATAAGTTAAAGGATACTATAAAATATGTCACATTTAAAAAAAATTATAATATTAATGATTAAATGGTTCTGTCAATGATTCAAATTATCAAATCACTACTTTTATCCTTCTGAAAGTCATTTAAATTTCTTCAATATAAAAAATACTCATAGGTTTTGAAATTTTCCCATCACTCATTTTAGTTCTTAACTTCTTATGACATTTATTTTAATGAATTCTTTTTTTTTTGTTTTGAAAAAAAACTCATATATTCCTTATCATTTGGGAACGATTCAATGAAGTAAGGAAGACCCCCACCAATGATCATTTCGTGGTATGCTAATAAATTCTTACCAATTTTGCAACTGTTTATGACAACAATAAATGGAAGAACTTTCAAAAAATTCATTTAGAATCATTGTTAGTATTTTTTTTTCCCAAAATAATTTTAGAAATTACTGTAGAATTTTAGTTAATTCCCGGTTTTATTACATGGTAGTATTGAAAAAGACGCTGAAATTTTCGAGGCCACATCCGTTGACCAAAGACTTTTCCTCTTTCTTTATACCTGCCAAAAACCGAACGTCCCTGTGTCCTTTTGAATTCCAATTTGTGCTTTAACTATCTAATGTAATCACTCTTCTTCATCATCAAGAAAATCTCAGAACTTGGTTGATTAAGTTCTGGGATTCTCTTGGGTTTTGTCTTTTGACTTCGTATCAACTTCGTTTTCCTTTGTTTTCTTGGTTTTTTTTTTTTGGGATTTTGTGGAGTTTGCTTTTGTTAGAGTTGCAAAAAGGCTAAAGACCAAGTCTTTTTTGAGTTATGGTTTGTGATGATTGATGGATGATGGGTAAAAAAGCTTGATTTTTTTGTTGTGTCGGTGGTTCAAAGAGTTTTTTGATCACTGCATTTGGAGTTCTTGATGGGTTCAAGGAAGACTAGAAGTTCTGCCATTAAGGAAGTATCTGAGTTCTTGAACCAGTTACTGGTGGATAAACCGCTGCTGCCTTTTGTTCTTCCAGTTTTGTTGGTCTTTTGGACAATTGAGAAGTGGTTTTTCTCCTTGTCCAATTGGGTCCCTCTTGGTGTTGCAGTATGGGCAACTATTCAGGTAACAGTGGAATTATTTGTTTCCATGTCTGAATCTTTGAATATTGTTGTTTTCCTTATCATAATTTGAACTGTGCTATCTTCTTTCCAATTTGATCCTTGAGATACTCTTTTTTTTTTTTTTTTGTGCTAACTTGATTGGGGTTTGACTTGCAACTTCTGGAATCTTTTATGTAATTGAATGCACTAGATCTTTGGGATGATATTTGTTTCCTCATCAATTACATCTTCTCTCTGTAGATAAATCTGAAAGTTTCTGTGTGGTAGATATCCATTTTGTGGCATGATATTTCTTTTCGGCTTGTAATTCATGTCAATGGCTAATAGGGACTAGAAATATGAAACAAGTCAAACTGCTTTCAACTGTCAACCTACTGTCGGCTTCTTTGTGCGATGGCTGTAGTTCATCGGAGTCAATTTTGTTTGTTAATTGGATGTGGTAATCTTTATAAAACTTCATGTTGTTATAACATTGTTGCAATCCCCTCCCCCCCTCTTCCCTCTTTTTTTTTTTTTTGGATTGCTTAATTTCCCCCTTATTTTTTGCTGTAATAGTTGGTAATTTATTATCCTTTTTCAGTATATTCTTCTTGAAGGGCAATGACCTTTGAGTATTCCTTGTAAATTAGAAATTACTTGAAGTGATTGAAACTGAATCTAAGCTTTCTTATATTTTCTTGAAAACAACTTTTCCCTGTTGGACATGCTTGTCATTCCATGTTACTGTTTACATAACTGAAAGCAATTGTTGTAATAGAAAGAAGCGCATCCGATTTGATTCACGAAAACTTTGGCTGTAACATGAGTTATCCACCTTGCCATTTTGCAGTATGGAAGCTATCAACGTCGTATTCTGGCAGAAGACTTAAATAAGAAATGGAAACAAATGATACTCCAGACATCGGTAATTCTCTATCACCATTTCCTTCGATCAACCTGTGATTTAAATCCCCCGTGACTTATATGTACATGGCCATTTTATTTCTCCAGCCAATGACGCCTTTGGAGCATTGTGAGTGGCTCAACAAGCTATTAACAGAAATTTGGCCCAAATACATTGCCCCTAAGCTCTCTTTGCGGTTTTCTTCTATTGTTGAGGTGACTTCTCTTTCCTATTATGCAACATGCGTGATTGTTATAGATGGAAATAATGCAAGTATATTGTCGTTATGCAATCTTTGAACTGTAAACACAAATATTTGCGAGTATATTGTTTACACAAACTCAGGGGTAAGAATTTTGACATCTATTTTTGGTAAATGAATTTTGACATCTTCTTTTGTTGTGGTTGTCGATTTGTTATATCAAGATTTCAGATTATGGATGGTGTTATTTTTATGCATTTGATTTGGTCGTTTCTAAAAAGAGTTGGCAACTTATTTGAAAAAGTAAATTCAAAAGAGAGTAGTCAACTGCGATATAGTTTTGGGGTGCCTTATTTCTCCTTTTTCTGCTATTTGTTTGCGGAAGTCTCATCTCCTGGCTAATCTTGTCCAACAACACCTTTTGTAATGGTTTTTCTCATTCATATGCAGAGAAGACTCAAGCATCGAAAACCAAGGCTGATTGTAAGTTATCTTTTCTTCTAAACCATGTGGAATACTTATAAGAAGTTTGTAACTGTAAATTGTTATGCTTTTACAGGAAAAAATAGAGTTACAAGAGTTTTCATTAGGCGAAGTTTCACCAATCTTAGGCCTTCATGGAACTAGTTGGTGCACTTTAGGCAGTCAGGTTGTGACTTATCTCTTTGTTGTATATGGTATTAATTCTTCTTCTGATTGACTAATCCTTTATGATATTTGATCTGAGTGCTTACATTCTTCTTATATCAACAGAAAGTTATGCGGTTGGGGTTCGATTGGGATACAAATGACATAAGCATTATGCTGTTTGCAAAGTTGGCAAAACCACTAATGGGAACTGCTCGGATTGTAATTAACAGCATCCACATAAAGGGTGATGTACGTCCATTTATGCCCATGGCTTGGTTTTCATGATCAATCCTGTATTCAGTTGGAAGCTACTTTTCTGATAAATAGCAAGAGTTTTGGGTTACATTGAAATGGCTCTTGCAAAAGTTTTTCTGAGAACCTAAGTTCCATCTTCAAGACAAATATGGTGTTCTAACCCAAAAGAACTTCTAGATATTAGGAAATTTAAGCAAACTCTCTTAGACAAACTTTCTTGAAATGAAATCACTTGTGGATGAAAGAACTACATGTTCGAATCTTTATCTGAATAAGCTTTTGGTGAAAACTTATTGAGAACATAGTGTTATGCTCCAGAAGTTATAGCTCTTCCAGCTTCATAAAAGAGAGGATTTGACACTGTAGATATATATTTTTTTGTGTTTCTGCAGCTCCTTTTAATGCCAGTTCTTGATGGTAGAGCATTTTTATACTCATTTGTTTCAACTCCAGAGGTGAGAATTGGTGTGGCTTTTGGAAGTGGTGGAAGCCAATCTCTACCCGCAACAGAACTTCCTGGTGTATCTTCTTGGCTGGTATGATGCTGCATTTGTTGAAAATTTAAATCTCTTATATGAATATATATGGAGTTTTTGGCTGCGTTGGGGGTTTTGGCATTGTTTTCGATGAATGATAAAAAAAAAAATCTGATGAAGAAACCGGTTACCTTGCGTTTATTAAAAGCTTGAGGCACAAGTTTTGCACACTAATAGATCGTGGCTACAGAAAATTTTATACAAGCAATTGACTGCAAATTAGATTCTTGAGCATTATGATTTTGGAGGATTAACTGATAATTGGTTGCATTTTCATGCCTGTATGATGGAATGGCTAGCAGTTTGCTCTAGTATGTCCTGTTTCTTGTTTTTGCACCTTGGAGAAATCTTTTGTAGATTGTGCTACATAAGTTTAAAGCTCTTCTACTTATCTTGTTCCAGGCAGCTGCTTAGTCCAGCAGCCAACATATGGTATCTTTTGACTGATCAATTGACTTATCTGTCTTCCTGTGTAACAGGTTAAACTGGTCACTGATACACTTAATAAAAGAATGGTTGAACCTCGTCGCAACTGTTTTGCTTTGCCAGCTGTAGATTTGTATAAGAAAGCTGTTGGTGGTGTCCTGCATGTCTCTGTGATTTCTGCTAGTAAACTTTCTAGAAATAATTTAAGGGCAAGCCCTTCGAAAAGACCTCCAAGCTCTGTCCAAGATAACGAGGATAGTGAAAACAAAATTCTACGGACATTTGTGGAGGTTGAGCTTGAGGAGTTGACTAGAAGAACAGGTGCAAAACATGGATCAAGCCCAAGATGGGATTCTACATTTAATATGGTTTTACATGACAATGCTGGAATCGTTAGATTCAATCTTTATGAATACACTCCAGGAAGTGTAAAGTACGACTTCTTAACAAGTTGTGAAGTCAAGGTACAGTTATTTTACTTTAGCTTTTCCTAAGTATTGAAAACTTAACATATTGAAAATGCATCATGTAGGCTATTGAAAGGGAAGTTGTTTAAATTGTCTGAGTAGTTGTATCATGCATACACATAGTAGCATGTAGTTCTTCGAGCTAGAATAAAGGGTTACGGTTTCAATTGCTTTCAGTTTTGAGTTCCTCAGAAAATAGAATTCTAGTTATGCGTTTGGAATTATAACACCACAGATGTCATACTTTTTTGAATGGGCATGTTTAAGATTTATAATGCGTAATGGATTCAATTTTGTTCCCCTTTGATGCAAACAGGTGAGATATGTAGCTGATGATTCAACAATATTTTGGGCAACAGGTGCTGATAATGCTGTCATAGTGAACCGCGCAGAGATGTGTGGGAAGGAAATCGAGATGACAGTTCCATTTGAGGGAGAGAATGCTGGAGAGGTATGATTATGAACTGGTGTAATCTTCCAAGTACACATGCGTATTGTCAATCCATTAATATGAAAGGTGTAAGAAACATAATTTTAGGCTGGCCACTTGAGTGATGTTAGTAACTTTGGTCGTGATTGTGTCTGATTCCAGTTTCTTGTCAATTTTTTAGAGATGATATATTATGTTTAATTTAAGGGTGGAGACTGAAATCACACAGGTCGTGGGTTCGAGCATAGCAAGTGCAATCCAGACGACCATCCCACACATACACGCACGAACAAGGAATAAAACAATAAATTATGCTTTTGTTCCCGGTTGCATTACTTTGTTATTCTGTTTCTGAATTGTGAGAAGCGACTGTGGAGGCTCAATGGCTATGTATATTTCAATGCTTTGGAAAACTGAGTATTGTACTCCCTCTGGTCTTTATTTTCATTTTCAATTGGGAAAACATAATAAATGAAACTTGGGAGAAATCAAAATGCCTTATAATAAGGACTGGAGGGAGTACTAAGCTTCATCACCATGGGGTAGAAGCTTTTACCAACAAGATCGTTTCAAGAACATTTGTAGTAACAAATATAAGTGTTCCGAAAATCTTAGACATTAGCTTATGCATTTTGAACATTGTTTAACTACTGTCATGTTACTGTGATATTTATATGTACACAACAGAGCTCATAATTCTTATCAGGGCATCAACTGACAGTTTAATTCACTGAATATTGCAGTTGCTGGTAAAGCTTGTCTTGAAAGAATGGCAATTCTCTGATGGTTCACGTAGCCTAAACTCTATGCGGAGTGGTTCTCGCCAATCCCTAAATGGTTCATCCACTCTTCTTTCAACAACTGGGAGAAAAATATATGTTACTGTTGTAGAGGGGAAAAACCTTCTTGTGAAAGACAGAATTGGAAAATCAGACCCTTACGTAAAATTGCACTATGGGAAGGTAAATAAATCTTCGTCTCTCCGAAGGTTTTCTAATTACTTGCAAGCTCCAAGTTATTATCTCCTGTCTGAACACCGAGTGTACTCTATGAGTATGCAGGTTTTCATAGCGTATGCATTGTGTGCATGATTCTTAGTTAAGGATCATGATCTAAATCTTCTTTTCAGGCCATTCAAAGAACTAAAAGCGTTCCTCATACTTCGGATCCTATGTGGAATCAAAAGTTTGAACTCGATGAAATAGGAGATGGTGAGTATCTCAAATTAAAATGCTTTACTGAAGAAACATTCGGAGAAGAGAGCATTGGTAGTGCACGAGTGAACATGGAAGGCCTTGTCGAGGGATCAGTTAGAGATGTATGGGTTCCACTTGAAAAAGTGAACTCTGGAGAAATACATCTTCAAATAGAAACAGTGATGGTTGAAGATAGTGAAGGATCAAAGGTATGTACTGGAGTTTTACTTTCTAACAGGTACTTAAGCAATTTGAAATATAGGATGTTAGTTGACTTCTAACTCAAGAACAGTTTTCAGGTTGAATAAGTTTTATGTAATGCTTGTACATATCATGTTTAAGGAAGGTTCAAGCTGTAATGGTATGGCCAGTTAATTTCCATTTAGATGTTAGGACATAGTTGTGACCTTGGATAGAGATTCCTTGATCCTTTTCTTTTCTTTGATACTATGACTTCCGTTTTGCATTGAGAATATTGCTTCTTTGGGGGCTAAAAACTGCTAATTAGTTTTGATATGGGGAAGAACTAATAACTTCCGATGGTGTAGCTCTAAACCAAAATTATTTCTAGGCAGTAATAGTTGTTTGCTTGTTTATCATGAGGGTGGATATAGTAGCATTGTAATGTATTCCACATTATTTAAGTTTCTTTCTTTCTTACTTTACTTTCAGGGATATGGAAGTTCTGCTAATGGGTGGATTGAGCTTGTTGTCATTGAAGGAAGAGATCTTGTTGCTGCGGACCTCAGAGGGACTAGTGATCCATATGTGAGAATACATTATGGCAGCTTGAAGAGGAAGACTAAGGTTAGAAATTCATTAATCCTGAATGCCTTGTTGGCTATTGCTTTTTATTCCTCTTTTGTGGCTTATCTTTAAATTTAACATCAGGATCCTAGAATTTGCATGGATATCTTGAATGTTTGCTGAAGGAATGTCCTTTATCACTTGACATTTTAGTTTGGAACAACTGTAGCTGACTTTTAGTGTCATCAGTCATCACTCTGCATAAATTCTGGTTGTGATCTGACAAATGCATATCGCGATGGCATTAAGTTTATTACTTCGGTTTCCTGGTTTCACCGTGCAGATTATGTACAAAACACTTAATCCAAAATGGCATCAGACCTTTGAATTTCCCGATGATGGCAGTCCGCTGGAGTTGCATGTTAAAGATCATAATGCTCTACTTCCAGTGTCAAGCATAGGTCATTGCGTTGTAGAGTACAAAAGATTGCCTCCTAATCATATGTCTGATAAATGGATACCGCTTCAGAATGTGAAAAAGGGGGAGATCCATGTTCAAGTAACTAGGAAAGTTCCAGAACTAGAGAAGAAGCCTCCAGACTCGGAGTCTTCCTCAGTCAAAGCACGCCAGCAGATTACTAAGAAGGTTAGAATTTCGCCCTTCTGTTGAACCACATTTCTGATTTCACTTCAATGCCGTGTACTTGGATTCAGCCAAATCTTTACTTTTTGTTTTAAATTTCGTATCAGACGAAGCAAATGATGATCAAGCTTCAGTCTTTGATCGAGGACGGGAATCTGGAAGGGCTTTCCGCATCTTTGACTGAGCTCGATAACCTGCATGATCTTGAAGAAGAGTATGTAACCCAGCTTGAGATGGAACAGATGTTACTATTGAACAAGATAAACGAACTAGGGCAGGAAATCTTGAACTCATCACCTACATTACACAGAAGGTCAACAATTCCGTAACAGTTTGAAGCAGTAATATACTTAGATTTAGCATCAGAAGTGTATTGGTATAGTACTATAGTTATTACCCCCTAATAATAGGTTCTAAGTTAGAATTTTCAAGCTGTATATTATCATATTACCACCTATATATGGATGAATACAATATTGCACGTTTTGCCGTCTATGATCATATGATCATAGGCCAATTGACGTACTAGTTAATAGTTGAATACTTCTATTCCCGATGAAACGAGCAATTTTTTCCTCTCAGAAAAAATCTTGAGAAATTTTGTCAATCACGGTATCCCTCACGACTTACACTTTTTTTATTTTACTTCCGTCATAAAAAAATAATTCACATTGAGTTTTCAAATTTGAATTAAAAATAATATAAAAATCAAAATTCAATATGTATTATTTTTATGAGACGGAGGGAGTATATAATTTAACCGATCAGTCGATTTGTATCATTGACAAGATTTGAATTCTCGTCCCAATTTTTAACGGAAAATTCACATTGGGCTATGCTCATCTTATCTGTACAGTGTACACTGATGTGTACAAACTGCAAATGCCACAGAGGAAAGCAAAATATCTAAAAACAATTTTTTTTAAAAAAATCTCATTATCACCAACACTACTTCTTTCTTCCCAAAAACCTCTATCGTTCCTCACAATCAACACAGTGGATACGAAAATTCTCTGGATTTTGCTCAAATTCACCGGCTAGAATATGCAGCGGGAACTTCTACATTAATGGCGTTATCAACTGCTAAGTTATCAGAAATGCCATTGCAGCTTCCACCCCAATTCTTATCCTCATACTCTGCGGCTCCTCGTAAACACTCTGTATCTATATTCTTCCTTAGACCCTTCTGTTCTTCTTCTTCTTCTTCGTCATCTTCTCTCCGGCCGAACGGAACTCCGACAAAGCCTTTACCTAACAGGGATTTTGCAAAGTCCAACGCCAGCAAGTATTCATCTTCTTGGCTTAACAAATGGCCGTCCCAAAGTCCACTTCCTCCTGTCCATTACAAGAACCCCAGAACCGTCCAACCCGAATTGCAAAGCTCCCGGGTTGATAAAGATGACTCGGACCCGCCCCGGACTTCCGCAATTGAGCGGATTGTGCTGCGGTTGAGGAACCTCGGGTTGGGCAGTGATGATGAGGACGACGATGAAATTGCGGAACCCGGATTGGATTTGGGTGGTGGTGGCGGGAACGACGTCGTAGGGTGGGCGGATGGGGAAGAGAAATTGGGGGATTTGCTGAAGAGGGATTGGGTTAGGCCTGATACGTTGTTGGTTGAGGATGAGGAAGACCCGGATTCTATATTGTTGCCGTGGGAGAGGGAGGCTGAAGGTGGTGGCGGCGGGCGGGCGGCAGCTCAGGCGGAGGAGGAGAGTCGGAGCAAGAGAAAGACGCCGAAAGCTCCTACTTTAGCAGAACTAACTATCGAAGATGAGGAACTGAGGAGATTGAGGAGAATGGGGATGACTTTGAGAGAGAGGATCAATGTGGCTAAGGCAGGTGTGACAGGGGAGGTGTTGGAGAAGATTCATGAGAAATGGAGGAAGAATGAGCTGGTTAGATTGAAGTTTCATGAATCTTTGGCCAATGATATGAGAACTGCTCATCAGATTGTTGAGGTCAGTATAATCAGTATGAAATGAATGATAAAGCTGCATTACTTTCGTTTATTATAGAGTTGTTAAGTTGCTGAGTTATGGTTCAAGGCAGAAATTGCTCAACTTTTGAATAGCTTAAGAGTACCAATGATCTGCTGTATTGTTCATTTTAATCTGCCAAAATTATTCAAAGTAGATGATGACCCTTTCCTCATGGTATCGTGTTATTTGCAGAGGCGTACAGGGGGTTTAGTTATTTGGAGGTCTGGAAGTGTGATGGTGGTTTACAGAGGGGCTAATTATGAAGGTCCCTTCTCGCGAGCTCAATCAGTGGGTGGAGAAGGAGAAACACTTTTTATCCCAGATGTTTCCTCTTCTGGCAATCCATTGACAAAAAATGGTGGCAATGTGCATCCTACAGAGAAACCCAAACTACCTGTACCTGTACCTCTTAGTGTTGAAAACATGACGGAAGAGGAACTTGAATACAACAGTCTGCTAGACGGATTAGGTCCACGGTTTGAAGATTGGTGGGGAACAGGAATACTTCCGGTTGATGCAGATTTACTTCCTCAGACAGTTCCTGGTTATAAAACACCTTTCAGACTTCTTCCTGTAGGAATGAGGTCAAGATTAACCAATGCAGAACTGACTAGCTTACGGAAACTTGCTAAATCACTTCCTTGCCATTTCGCTCTTGGTAATGTTGAGCATCTTCAACGAATTCATACTACATGCATTTGTTCGTCGTCACTGATTGATTTCATTGTGTTTCTTAGGAAGAAATAGACACCATCAAGGTCTGGCAGCTGCTATAGTCAAGCTCTGGGAGAAGAGTTTAGTTGTGAAAATTGCTGTGAAACGTGGAATTCAAAATACAAACAACAAACTCATGTCTGAGGAGTTGAAGGTGTGGTAAAAAGATTTACCTTGTCTCTATGTTCTCCTTCTCGACTTCTACTGTTCTTTACATTTTCTGCCTGTTTGTTTTCCTGTCAAAAGTGTCTACCAGGTATGCTAGTTGTGTAGGGAGGTCATAGTACTCATTTAGTTGAACAAGTCGGGGTAATTTAAAACATTGGTCTACTGCTATCAGTTTCATGGTGTGTGCTCTTTTTTTACTTGTTTTAGAGAAACTTACTCAGTTTTGTTATGTTACATATTTCATAGATGGTCAGGGAATTAGCATTTCATGCGTGTTGGTGTATATAAACGTGCAATAATTCTAACTGATGGAAAATTTTTGCAGATGTTGACTGGGGGAGTTTTGCTTCTTAGGAACAAATATTTCATTATAATGTACAGGGGAAAAGATTTCCTTCCCCCTAGTGTAGCTGCTGCTTTAACAGAAAGACAGGAAATGACAAAGCAATCCCAAGATATTGAGGAGGAGGTTCGAATTAAACCAATCAATGCAGCACCAGAGGGGGAGGATGGAAAGGTACTTGCGGGTACTTTGGCTGAGTTTTATGAGGCTCAGGCCAGGTGGGGAAGAGAAATATCTGAAGAAGACCGTGAAAGGATGATACAAGAAGCAGCCAGAGAAAAGACAGCAAGGGTGGTGAAGAGACTAGAGCATAAATTATCCCTTGTAAGTTTATCTTTTCAATCTGGTGACTTTGGGGGGTTTTTTTTCTTTTGTGAGAAGGACCTGCTCAGCTCTGGCTTCAGATATCATTTTACGTTATGAATATTTTGGTTTTGGGATAGTGAAACAAACCAAACTCCAGTAAGATTTTAGGAGGAAAAGAGAAGGTTGTCAGTTTGAGGTTGAGGTTGGATCCATATGATACAAAAACTTAATTTTTGGAAGTAATGCATGAGGTTCCGTAGTTAACTTACTCTCAAAACTTTTCCAGTATGTTTTAACTTGTGACCTTAGGTATTGCACTTTCAATTGATTGACAAACAGTAAATTTATCATGTCAAATGTGGTTTTTCTTATTTTTATAGTTTTTGGGGTCTGCAGTGAGTTTTCAGATTCAATTGATAGAGCACCTCATTTGGATTTAATGATTTCATCATTGATTGTGATCTAATGGTTCTCAATAATGTAACCTGTTTTCTCTGTTTTTCGAAACTGGAATACAGTTAGTTATTCATCCAGTTTGATGGTGGTACACCTGTTGGTTCCTTCTAATACAACCATTGTTATCCGTTGTTACTTTTCTACTGTTGATTAAGCATATTACTTGCTTCTTAATTGTTGAACATTCATTCCTGCATAAATGGACAGGCCCAAGCCAAGAAGCAGAAAGCAGAGAAATTATTGGCTAAAATAGTGTCAACCTGGATACCAGCTGATCCAGATAATGACCAGGAAATGATTACAGATGAAGAGAAGGCTATGTTCCGGAAAGTTGGATTAAGAATGAAGCCTTACTTGCCCCTCGGTGAGTTTTTACATGCTTTTCCATATTTTCAGTCGAATTTTAAATGGAAGTGGAAATTTAATGTTGCAATTATGGTGTTTGCAGGTATTAGGGGTGTTTTTGATGGTGTGATTGAGAATATGCATCTGCACTGGAAGCATAGAGAACTTGTCAAATTGTTATCAAAAGAAAAGGTTCTTGCCTTTGTTGAAGAAACTGCAAAACTATTAGAATATGAAAGTGGTGGCTTACTCGTGGCGATAGAAAAAGTCCCCAAAGGTTATGTTCTCATCTTTTATCGCGGAAAGAATTATCGAAGACCTGTCAGCCTGAGGCCTCGCAATCTGCTCACAAAGGCAAAAGCATTGAAGCGAAGGGTCGCCTTGCAACGCTACGAGGTTCTTCTTCTGTGCTTTATATTTTAAGTCGTCTTCCTGGTTTTGTAGTAAATTATCTACCACAAAGTTCATCGATAATTTGGCATATAGTTTGCTTTCGTTCATATCCTTCTTCTTTTGACAATTGTCTCAACATTGCTCCACAGGCCCTTAGTCAGCACATTGAGGAACTGGAGAGAAATATAGAGCAGATTCAAGGGCAAATTGTGAGCTTCCAGATACATTTTTCTGGAAACCTTTTATCTTCACTGGTTATATGATCTCTTTTTATAATTTCTAAATGCATATCTGTACTTTCTCTTTCTAGGGTGATTCCAGAGACGGGGTAAACCTTGAAACCGCAAACAGTGGGGACTTTGACCTGTCCGATGATCTGTCTGAATTCACTGATGTAAGTATTTTTTATTTAGAATGTACTGACGTTGACTAGTTATCTCGTGGGTAGACCATGAACGCTCTGCTTTCCATATCTGAAGTTAACATTTCCTTATCCTGGACAAACTATTGTCATCTGATTGTCATGCAGAGTGAAGATGAGGCTTCACTGGTTTCTGAAGACGGTGAAGATGAAGATCTTGATTGGGAAGATGATTCTGATTCTGACATTGCAATGGAGGACTATGATTATACTTTCGCTAAGGGATGAAACTTAATTTTCTCTAATCCCATCAACTGACAGGAAGGAACTTGGAGGGAAAGAACGCCGCCATTGAGGGTAACTCATGCCAGGGAAGTTGTGACTTGGGAACCCGGCTAAGTGTTTGTCGTTAGAGATTCATTGACACAGGATGAGCGCCTTGGCCTGGAACAACTGCCGAAGTCTACAAATCAACGGCCTTTTCTGCTGATGATGGCTCCTCCAAACCCAACACCAAATAATCCTGACGTAAATTTTTAGGCCGTAGGGGAGGGTTCCAATTTCCACCCATATTTTCCTGCTTCACATTCGCCAGATTTTTGAACTCGCATCATTGCCTGCCTCCATGCTGTAAATTCTTGGTGATGTAATTTGTTACTGTAAGTAGTTGAGGAAGATACTGTTTTGTCTCAGAGAAAGTATTTTACTACATCGAAATCATTTTAGATTGACCTTTCAATGCCAGCACAAATGAGTATAATTTGATCATTTTGATGTTCTTTTTTCGACTATCAAAGATGCACAAAATGATGTCTCAATTATTTCAACCGCAACAAGAAATGAAACAGCAACATGCTGTTATATTCCATCAGTTTTTGGGAAGCATCAAACTGCAGTTGGTGTGGCTGTAAATGCACGTCTCTAGTCTTGAGTTGTTGTATCATGAACATAGTGTGATAGGAGGTAGTTGGAAAACTGAGTAGCTTACTACAATTTTCATAACAACATTCGATATCAGTTTCTTCAATCGTAACTCTATATATTAAAACAACGAAAGCAGCGAAGATCCAGCCTTTATCTCACTATGGATAGTATACCAGGGAGATGGAACGTGCTCAGTGGACGAGACAACTGGAAAAACCTGCTTGATCCACTTGACCTTGATCTTCGTCGTTACCTCATCCATTATGGTGAGAAGGCTCAAGCAACCTACGATAATTTCAACAACCAAAAGCAGTCTAAATACGCAGGCAGCGCCATATACACGAAAAGGCATATGTTAAATTCTGTAGGCTTATTGAAAGCCAACCCATTCAGGTACAACGTTGTGAAGTACCTGTATGCGACATCTGAGATCAGTGTTCCAGATGCATTCATAATGAAGTCGCTGGCGAAAGACCCGATTTACCAAGAATCAAACTGGATGGGATATGTTGCTGTTGCCACTGATGAAGGGAAGAAAGCGCTTGGAAGAAGGGATATTTTGATTGCCTGGAGAGGCACAGTTAGGCCAATAGAGTGGGTAAAGGATTTCCAGTTCCCATTAGTATCAGCTTCTTCACTAGTTGGGAAAGATAGTAAGGATGCTAATGTTCATCAAGGTGTACTTTCCATTTATACATCATCTGATCCGAAATCTAGATATAACAAAACCAGTGCAAGGGATCAGGTAATTAATCTCCATCTTTCATTCGCAATCGATTGGCTTCTTTGATCTTGACCTTCATAATGGAAACTCATATATATAATTTTTCACAATGCAGGTTCTTGAAGAGGTAAGGAAACTAGTGGAAGCATTCAAGAAAGAAGATATTAGTATCACAATTACTGGCCATAGTTTGGGTGGTGCCCTTTCAACCTTGAATGCTGCTGACATTGTTGCTAACGGTTATAACAAGACTAAAGGGCGCCCGAAAAAGGTTTGTCCCGTAACAGTCATGGCGTTTGGCAGCCCCCATGTTGGAGACTCGAATTTCAGGGATGTTTTTCAGGCAATGGATCATCTACACATTCTAAGGACTGTCAATGCCCCCGATATCGTGTCTGTTATCCCGCCACCCCCATATGTAGGGATTGGACCTACCCTGCAGATAGATAGTCGAAAATCGCCTTATTTGAAGAGGGGAGACACTGAGAAATGGCATTCGTTGGAGCCAGCTTACCTGCATACAGTTGCAGGAACACAAGGACCTAAGGGAGGTTTTCGGTTCGAAGTAAAGAGAGATATCTCCCTTGTGAACAAACATGTTGATGTACTGGCAGACAAATATTTGGTACCTGGTGGATGGTGGTGTCAAAGAAATAAGGGGATGGTTCAACAAAATGATGGATCTTGGAAACTTGAAGATTACGACAAGGATGAGCTGATACTATTATAAGCTTCGATGGAGCCATAAATTTTTCTGCGTTCTGTTTGTTTGTTGTCAATTTGAACACCATAGCCATGAAATATATAGGTTATTAGACGAGGAAGAGATCAATCCTCAACTCAACTGTACACCGAAACCAAAAAGGTAGAAGCAAATTTTTAACCCTTCTTTAAGAAACTTTCTTTCGTTTTCCTTTTCCTTCTTTTTGGTGGTAAATTGAAAATTTTCACGCAGATTTCAAGAGTAATCTTCTACATAGAAAATGATGCAATATTACTCACTGAACTAAATTTTGCGGCTAAACTATCCATGAGTAGTCAGTCCGTATATCAGAAAAGACAGGAAAACGAGTAAATTGGAAATCAAGGAAACCATAGAGGAAAGTGGAGAAACTACAAAATTTGTAAATTTGCTGAGTAATGGGCAAACAAGCCCTGAAAAACAAGGTATATAACAATTTATACACTAAGAACTAGAAGCAGAAAAGTTCACAGTAAGTTCCTTCGGCCGCCAGACCATAAATGATAAATCACATTAGTGGCAGCTCAGGATGCCATTTACTCTATGTAAGTGATGACACAAGAGAGGTTTGTTCTCATTGACGCAGCATTTGTTGCAACTGCAACACTTGAGTCCTTTGCTCCGGAGGCAGCTGGTTAATTTGCTCTGGAGTGAGGCTCATAACCTGTTGTACGAGAGCATTTTCCATCTCGCGTGATAACTGCACAACAGTTATCTTATATTAGTGATTTCAAGGTAAACTCTGAAAAAAAAAAACTACTGTTTTCAAACGTGAACATATAGAATTAACTTGAAGCAGATAAGTGTACTACCGGAGGTCGAGCAGACTGACTGCCGGGTGCCATTTGGCCAGTGAATTGCGGAGGGCCAGGAAGGAGTCCACCACCGCCAGTTTCTTGGAGACCAGGTAGCCAAGGAGATCCTCTATCAGGTTGATTATATTCTGGACCTAAACGTGGACCTCCGACCTACAAATGTTCAGGGACCAGGAGAGTCACAAAATGCCCATAATTAGAATCTAATAAAACCGGAAATGAAAGTCGATATGGCTCACAGTTCAATCAAGTTATTCATAAAGCTGTAGCTGCAGGTAAAATATAGACCATGGATAAAGAACCAATAGCAACTATCCGAACAAGTGCATAAAAAGCAGATAAAACAATGCTGAACATCACAAAGAAGGGCAAAACGTGTCGACTAGGAAAAGCAAAAATGAAGAGCACTACGCAGAGCAATAAGGTAAAGAAGGAAGCACAAAGTGTCTATCTTCTGGATTTGACGGAGGACAATCACCAACCCCTTCAGACCATAATTAAATCTACCTATTATTGTCTACAAGCAGAAGGTTTTGGGCGCCAATCATACAAGAAAAAGGAAAAAGCGGCCTCGATCCAACAAGTGCAACTATTTAATCTTCTATACAACCAATAAAAAGTTGTGAAATTCACTTAGAAAGTATAAAAAATGAATAAAAAGCAAGCGAAATGCAACACCAATCATTCTTTTAAATGTAGTGCAATTCTAATGTACTGAAATTCTTCCCCTGGGGGGCGATTGTGTGGGTTGAGCAAGTTTATAGAAAAAAGTACCTGATACGGAGGCTGGAGCGGAGGCTGCATCGAATGTGGATGCTGATTTTGAAAAGAAGGCCCAGGACCAGGAGAAGGTTTTGCCCCCGACTGAAAATAAATATGTAGATATGTTAGACAAATGTTTCAGAAGAGTAATTACTTCTTTCCAATATCCATTGGTCTACTGTCAACTCACATGATAAATAGGTTGTGAATGATGCAACGGAGGTGCACCAGAATGCTGAAAACCCGCAGTTACTCCAATTTGATTGGGAACTTGATGAGAGAAGCCAGACATTGGAGGGCGGAGGTGTGAGGGTGGTGGGGGCTGGAGGGGCATATGGGAAGACTGTAGTGGATTAGAGGCAGTGGGCATTGGTGTTTGAAGGATTGAAGGTGGCTGAGAAGTAGCATGATGTGAAAGTGGAGGCACATTCGGTAACTGAGCGACTTGTGGAAGGGGCATACTCTGTTGGTTTGCTATATGTCCCTTCGACTGGAGATGTGATGGATATGAAGGAGACTGAATGTGTGAAGGCAGACCAGACGTAGAAGATACTCCACTCCCAGCTTGGTTCTGAAGCTGCTTTCTTGTCTGCTCCGGCACACTAATTTGACCAGGCAACGGCGAAGCAGCTTGAATATTTGATGGAAGTTTTGATGAGGCAGATTGCTGTAGGTTTTGCAATGGAACAGGCTGGACATTTGGTGCCTATTGAGAAAGAGATAATTACTTTATACTCTGCTGGTGTTACATCCAGTGACATTATACACCAAAATCCCAAACACACAAAATCAAGACATACCGTTTGGGGACGCACCATTCCCAGCATTATTTGTGCCTGAAAACAAACAACATCATAAGCTAAAGCAGAGAGCAAAAATACATAGTTCATTCCAAATCAAAAACACATAGTTCCCTATCTCCATTGTTTTTTCAATTAGATTAGCGAACAAAAACCCAAGAAATTATCCTTGGCAGAGAAGCTACAGTTTGAAATTGGGTAATTCAAAATGTTCCAAAAATATAGCACAATGGGTTGTACCGACCCTCAGGAAATCTTTCAGAAAGAATTGGTCCTGGGTACAATGGCTTTAGAAACTAAGAGTAACACAACTAGAAAAAAAAAAAAGAAAAAAAAAGAAGAAACTTCGACTAAACTTAACGTGAGTACAAATAGAGTTAAAAAGTTAATTAGGTTGATATCCAAGAATAACATCCAATCCTAACAACATTCAAGTGAGCTGCAAAAACTAAATATAAACAAAAACAAGACGAAACATAATTCCTATTAAGAAAGGAAAGGAGAAAGAGAACCATTGCAAGTGTGAGCACCCAAAAATGTTGGAACTTGGGCAAAAAAAATCAAGTTTTTATTTCCTAAATCATTCTTCAGCACTCTCTCTCTCAAGCTTTAACATTTACCCTTTTTCTCAAACAATAAATGGAACCCTAACTTGCAGAAATCAAGCAGAAGAAACAAATAACACCTTAGGCAGACAATCTCATCATTTCAATTATTGGAATAATACTCAAGGAAAAAAATTAAAACTTGAGCATGTAAACCTAATCAAATACCTGAAACAGGCCTTTGGTCAAAGCAGGATTATGAATTAGGATTTGCCTGGCTTGCTGCTGGTTCTGTCCAATCAATTGCTGCACCAAGAACAAACCCATCAATGGGGATCATAACCCAATTAAAAGCGAATTTAGTAATTAAATTATATCAAGAACACATAACCAATTGTTCCCTTCTTAAAAACTTCAATAAAAAAAAAAAAAAACTGAATTCAACATTCTGTGGAGTAGGGCAGGAGAAGGAAAAGTAGACGGGAGGCAATATCATTACCTTCACCTGACACATTATATCGTAAAGTTGAGTTTTTGACATCCCGGCGACAGCCTCCGACGACATGTCGTCGCCGTGAATTTGCTTTCCGGCCATGGGTTTCTGCAAGTGAGAGCTTTCGTTTGTGTCTTTGTGAGGAAGGGAGAGGAAGATGAAAAAGACGCAAACTTGGGCTAATATTTATCCCCATTTTTATTTTTAGAAAATTACATATTCAACCCCTGAACTTTAAATTTATTATCAATCAACGTCTCATCACTCAATATCACTAACCAAAACAAAGTGTATTCTTTTTTTTTTTTTTTTGATAAATTATGTTCTTTGAATCAGTTACTTTATTTTTCATAATTTCTTTTGAAATGAGGAAAATGTGTAAAATAATGATATGATTAAAGTACTCACTCCGGTCCTTATTATAAGGCATTTTGATTTCGTCCTAGGTTTTACCTAAGATGTCTTTTTAATTGAAATAAAAATCTTAAAAATATTTCATAATAATTAGTATAAAATAACGAATATAAAAATATATTTTAAGATTTTTTTTCCTAATTAAAAAGACATACTAAGTTAAATTTTTGACGAAATCAAAATGACTTATAATAAGGACCGGAGGGAGTATGTCACTTGTCAATTAAATTTCTCTAATCGCGAGTTTTCTATTTGGTTGAGCCAAACTAATTATGTTAATCCATTAGTTCGTCTCATACTAATAATTCAATAAAATAGATTATTAGCGAGGAACGAGATGAGTATAGTGTTGTTGCAAGCTTGTGTTGTTTTCTTGTTCAAAGTCATGGTTTTGTTCAGTAACCATTCTGATTAACAATTTCTATCTTAATTTGAGATGGAAGTGATTCATCAAGGTAGTAGCTAGCTAGTAACAAACCGACTGCATAATGAAGGTTAAGCACGGATCATGACTTTATGGAAAATCATAATTCCTCCTTTTCTTATGATCACTTTGACTAATTCATAATGGATTAATTTTAATCAAGATTCAGGTCGTATATTCAAATGGTAGGTATAAATTTCCGATTCTTAAAAGATAATTGGTTCATATTTAAAGTCAATTATTCAAGGAAAAACCTTAGCTCTATCGATCGTTATTAGACCACGTTAAGTTCCTTATACATGATTGTTAATGTATGGGTACTTTGTCTTCTCCATCAAGGTGACTTGCAAGTACTAATTATTCAAAAATAAGTAAATAAAAAAAGGAGAAAAGGATATTGTATTTATATATATTGGATGGAATATGTCTAACTGCGTTTTAATGAATAGGAACCGGCAAGCAGTACATTTCATGGTCCTTCATTTTGTAGCTAATTTGTGTGCTATGGTCTAATTTAGGAACATATGAAAAGAGGATTCTTAATTTCTTATCTAAAACGCGACCAATATAATCTAGAATCATTGCAACATTTAGTGACAAGTTACGTCCTATTGAATTAAAAGGATAGAACATAATATTTTTTAGGACCAAAAGATGATTAATAACGGCCGTTCGAGAAAGCATTCATCATCTCATATACATGAGATGAATAATTTCAAAATTATATTATAAACTTTTTTCAATATTACGTAGATGGCGTTTGAAATTATTGTTTCAGATCAGAAGTATATAACTTTGATTGTAGATTAATAACATTAAAAGACAAGAAAATTGTGCTTCTAAAAAGTTGATTGTTGATCATTGCCACAATCTTAATAACATTAAAAGACAAGAAAATTGTGCTTCCAAAAAGGTGGCAAATTAGAAACGTACATATCTAAGGGAAAGACCACGACCATGAAAGTGAGGAACAAAGAGAACTTTGTATTAATGCATAATGTTGTCGACGAGTTTCGGATCGAAGTCAATTTTTTACGTTCTTACATTGTGGTTTACAAGAGAGATGCTTGAAATTATAACGAAGCTAGACCTATTTACGAACAAAAGTACACTAAATGATGAAAACTATATCTACATTATTATTAACATTTGTCCATATGGATCCAGTAGTACTTTTATTTGACCTAGGATCTCCTGCATTTCTTTGGTATCATTGGGAGTTGGGACTACATTCTTTTTTCTGGAGGGTAAAACTAGAGGAACATATTAGTTTAATTTAAAGTGCAGTTAATTCACAATTTTTTCAGTTACGTACGTCACTTTTTTTGGTAAATAAATCGGCACCTGATCATCATCATATCATCACCAAATGTTGGAGTCCAAATTAAATGGTTGCTCCACTTGTGGCTGTTGCTGTTGTTGTTGTTGTTGTACCCCATGATGATCTAAAACCCTAGATGAAGAAGCTGAAGAAGACCCGGCTCCGAAATTCGAACTAATTAAATCATTCCCTCCTAATTGTTGGTTCGAGCTCGAGATCATCCCTTGTGTCATAAAAGAGTAATCATTTGGTGTTGTAATATTCCCTTCTCTTGGCTGGAGATTCCTGAGCTGCAAAGCCCTTAAGAGCACAGGTGTGGTACTGTTCATTGCAAGGTTAGTACTCGTACTTAGCAAATTTGCAGTGGAAGGCCACGAAGTGAGTGGTGGAAGAGAATAGCTTGCAGCTGCGGCTTCTCTGATGGCATTCCAGTTAAGAACTTGATCATTGAAGTTATGTTGTGGAGATATGTTGTTGTTCAAGATCATGGCGGCGGCGTTGTTGACCGAGGTGGCGGCCGCGAAGGCCGCGGCTGCGCCGAAATTAGGGTATTCGATGTCTCCCAATTCACTTGCCATGGTGTTGGTATCACAAGGTGATCCTAATGATTGAGGTGAGGATGGTGTTTGGTGGAGCTTCTTCACCGTTGCACTCTTCTGAAAAACTCTGCAAACTACCCATTCTTCCTGCATTAAAATCACGTGAAATTGATATAAGTTTTGGTCAACTGATAAGTTTCACTGAACTTTATAACAAGTGACGTGACATTCGTTCGAATTTTAATAACATCACTCTGATGATAATAATAATTATGTTCGTGTGGAATAGATCTGATGAAAATTCTTTGCTGATTGTCACTTTAGTCACTATTATGAATACCCTTATACGATCGAATGTGGATATAAAGAATTTATTGAGAAAGTTTTACCTTTGAAGTTCTGAAAGCTAGCTTGGTTTCTAAGCGATATTCATGCATAACCCAATTGGTTTTCTCACCCTTGGGAGCTCTACCTCTGTAGAACACAAGGGTTTTCTTCATCCCTACCAAAATTCCACCGCGAAATATCTCCTTGTCTTTTCCGGTGGTTTTCCAGTATCCAGCTTCCGTTGCCCGATTAGTTCTCATTCCAGTTGGGTACTTTCGGTCTCTCATGCTGAAGAAATACCATTCTTTTTCTCCCATGGAGGCTTTAGCTGCTTGCATTTACACCAAAAAACGAAATTATTACGTACTCCACCACTTCAAAAAAAAAATAAATAAAAAAAATGTGATTTAAAAAATACAACTCTTTGATGAGACGGAAGAAAAGAGTATAATTCATTGGTTTTATTGAATATCAATTATTTGAACATGATATCCATTTGTTGATTAATTCTTTTGGTTAGTTTTGAAACAAGCATCGAGTTGGTGAAATGTTTGACAACTTTGTGACATCTTTAGTTTCGTAACAAAACATTTTACTTGTAATATATAATATTCCGTGGTATGTTGTCATTAAAGAGAAAATTGTTAAGAAATAATAATGAAAGCAAAGCCAGGAAGCAATATAAGAATGTCTGCTTCTGCTTGTCAGTTTCGATTTGATTTTTACTGTATGAATTTTAATCACGCAGGTACTCAAAACTTGCCCCCGCTGAATTTAGTAGAGACAAACAATTAATTAAACAAATAACAGCCTCAAGGAAAAAAATAATGAAAACAAATTTAAAGATACATATACAGTAAAGCATTTCTTTCTAAAGCCACATTTAAGGGAAACTACAAGGACATATATCTATTTTATTTTTATTTCTCCCTTCTAATTCATGTCTCTTTTCTCCATGACTAACTATTCCTCGGTTCCTTTTTCTTAAATCTTTAATTTTCCTTCTTTTTATTCATTTAGTTTTCATTACTAAAACATAAAGATATGTTCCCTTATCCTAAAATGATCATGTGGAAATAATAAATAAGACAATCATTTTTAGTAAATACTCCCTCTATCCCAAAATTATTGTCCAGTTTGAGATTTCACTTTTAGTACAATTTGAACTAAAAGTGAAAATCCAAACTGGACAATAATTATGGGACGGAGGGAGTAACTTATTTCACATGTTTTACATTTTTGTTTTAAAAAAGATAAGTTAACTAGAAAATTCAAGAATGTAGCGCATAGACTTCTTCTCCTTTTAAACACAACAAAACAGAAAAGATACTTTGAGTTTTCCTTGTGAAAATGTATTGGGAATTAGTAATAAGAATATAAGATGTACTTTTCAAATTTAACAAATTACAATTATTTCTTCCCTTCTTAGCGACTCTAAATTAAATATCATACCACATATAATAGTTTAATTAGAACAAACTGTTTTCTTAATGAAAACCGCTTACAAGTTGGTTGATGAAAACACTGTTTAATTATTGTGAAGCTAGCGGCTAACATCTGGCCAGGTAAGAAACATTTCTAGCAACAAATCACTTAATACGAGTAATTTTTATTTTTATTTTTCTAAACACACACACACACACACACACACAAAGAAGAGAAACCTTCAAACTGAGGTAATGTGTACGTATAACAAGAGAAGGAATCAAACCAAATTGATTCGACAATTGATCAATCTTGTACATTATTAATACAACATATGATCATACTTATTATTTTGCAGAACTTAATGAACATTTTCATACTACGTTATTGGATAACAAACAACTCTTAATATTCAACCAAAGAACCTCGATTTACATACAATCTCCCGTTCTTACCACCTCTTTCCAATCACACGGATACGTGAAAAAAGATGAACATGAACACATGAACAACAAAAGTATACTAAGAACTGATCAAACATCAAATCCTAAACATGATATATACTAAATTCAATATATATACCTGGGAGGTCCCAAGGTTCACACTTGTTGAGATCAACATCAGCAATAGCCCTTGATGAGAACCCAAAATCAGAAACCTTGTTTGACAGATAATATGTTATGAGTTCTTCATCTGTTGGATGGAACCTGAATCCTGGAGGAAGATTTTCCTCCATTTTTCTCAGTTCCTTCCTAAGCTTAAAAAAAGAGAAACCAAATATGGAGAATTTAACCAAGTACGGATTGGAGGGTGGAGGGGTGTATATTAATGGTGTCCTCCCTTCAGAGAGACTTTTTTCTTCCTTTTTTTTTTTTCCTTACAATGAAATCAAATTCTTCAAGAAGAAGCTGCAGCTATATCTTATTAGTCTTTTTTTAATTCTGAATATTACAGCTAACATCTTGACAAAGATAGTCCATGATGGATTATTACATTTTTTTTATTCCTTGTGAAACGACTATTTTGCCATTTAGCTGATGTGAGCTAAATTGTTTGTTTTCTCTTAATTAAATCTTTGCAAATCAGAAATCAGGAATTTTTGTTCACTTGATGTGGTACATACTTCACTGTTGACAATACACCATGCCTGGAATCGATTAGATAGCTAAAAATATATATTAAATAACGATCAGATTTTTTGTTACACTTTTGATATTACACGCTTTGTTACACTCTTTATGTTATACTCGTTACTTTTCTATATTTTTTATATCTAATGTTTTTGTCCTAACAAAATAAATGGACAATGTATCTTAAGGGGTAACTAAATAGACTTGTATCAAACATTTCAAGATTGTCAATAAAAGTGTAACACTATGAAGATTGCAGAAGGTTTTTGCTTATAAAAGTTGTATAAATATATTGCAATTGTAAAAATTGATTGAACTGTATTTATATCTTAAATTATCCACCAAGATCGCCCTAAATTTTGGAGCCAAATTCCTATGATTACGATTAATTAATTAACGACTTAATTTGAGAATCGAAAAAGTAATAGTTTTCGATTGGCTACAGTTGAGTCAGTGTTACAATTTGCATTAATCAAATTCAAAAATTAATTCTGGTTGTTAATTCCACACCCATGGCCAACCACCTTCACCCATTTCTACCCACCAAAAAGTCTGACTGACCCTCATCTATTCCCTCCAATGGGAACAAAGCTTGTGTATCAGCAATTCAGCATATTTTTTTGTTCTCAGCCACTTGGAATTTTTCATCTCTTTTTGCTTTCAGTATGTGCACGTGTACTTTGGGAGTTATTAGTGAGTGATTTATCATCCAAAATTAATCATGAAAATGACTTTAGCTAGCTGTCTTTATGTATAATGTAAATATATACTCCGTCCCATAATTATTGTCCAGTTTGATATTTCACTTTTAGTATAATTTGAACTGGAAATGGAAATCCAAACTGGACAATAATTATGAGACGGAGGGAGTATATCTTATATAACGAATTAATAGAGTGATTAATAAGGAGACAAAGTTGAGTAAAGATAGTGAAGATTTCTTTCACTTGTCTGCTGTTTTTGGCCCCCAGCTGTGCATTAACTTCTCACGAAATGGCCTACTCTCTAAATATCAGCGTGGTTAAAGTTAGTTTGTAAAGTGATACTGAGCTCTAACACACATGATCAGCATATATCGTAAATCTCTCGAATATCATTCCAATTGAAGAGAAATGTGTTTCTTAGGAAAGTCAAAATCGAGTGTAACATGCGTGACTTAAATCGATAACTCTGTTTTCATTTTAACGATCTATTTATTTCTATATCGAGAGGATATTATAAGTACTTCAGTCATGAATTCGCAACTTTTGCGAAATAATAATGGTCAATAAGAGCTTTGTGATAACCCTAATAAGAAAGACCCTAAATAGTTATACATCATGACTCTTCCCACGAGTTTTGTAAAAGTTAACATCATTCACCTAAAAAAAAAAGGAAATGTTCTATTTTAACCAAAAAGGAGGTTACATGAAAATTGTCCTTATTTTTTCTTAATGCTACACTTAATAAAAGTCATTATCCATGTTGGACTTATTAAAATTCAACAGGACGATTGAAGCCGGCATCGAAGAAGCAGGTTAAATTTTTTTTTAAAAAAAAATAATGGAGATTAAGACAAGGTTAGATTAGCTAGCACCAAATCAGATCTCTTTTGGTAGGGTGACAATGGGTTATAATTCTGGGATTTCTGGAAATACGGGAGTGGTTAAAAATGTTCACCAAACCTCAAGACTGTATATCTAACAAAAATCGTTTAGAAACTTGAGATTTCAAAGATTTCTCAGTCTTTAAAAAAAAAAAAAAAAAAAGTCGCTCCTTGAAGCCTTTCTTATTTTCAATCCTAACATGAACCTTTTTTGTACTTCATCATCTTCCTTGTCTTCTTTTCTTCTTCATGCATGCCGCTCTAGAAGTCTAGAAACCCCCTCCTTTCTCTCTCACATACTCACACACTTATCATGAGAGACAAAGGAAGAAGCTAGCATATGCCACTTAATTTGTTAGTGAAGTATATGGAAACTTAATTTAAAATCCTAGCTACATATTAAGTTAATGAGTAGGCACTATTAATAAAAGGCTTATCTTGTAAAATCTTATGGTTCAAGATTATACATAATTGGGTTAGATTATGTGAATTTGGTTAGTGAACTCCCAAAGGCAGTGGGAATTGAATCCGTGATTTGGTCGTTTTGTGGTTGTGACCTTAGTGTTTTGTTCCTGATTCTTAATTTCGGGACTCATCCACATTAAAATTTTTGATCTTCTAGAAAGGGGGAGTCTTGGAAGTAGATATTGTGTATGGTAATTAAATTCTTTGGGAAAAAAGTACTTATAAAAGTGCTAGTTGGTGGTAGAGTAAGTGTTTTCACCTTTTCAGAATCTTCATTACCTATAAATATTTATCAACTGTGTGAAGTGTTTGTAACCTATCTTGGATTAATTGTATTTTTAATAATAAAAAAATGATATATCTTACTTATTAATTCATAAATCGTATTTCTTCAATCATATAATACTCCCCACGTCCCATAATTACTGTCCAGTTTAAATTTTTATTGTTTATACAATTTGAACTAAAACTGAAAATCCAAAATGGATAATAATTTTTGGACGGGGAGTAGTAGTTTTGTTTCCTTAATTATTTAAGATTTAGGTATACAAATATTAAATTAAAGACGGACGGAGTAAAGTACTAACAAGAAATAGTTGATTGGTACATACTACACAAAATACAACCATTTTACAGAAGACCGTAGAAACAGAGTGCAAGGGGGTTGGATGAAATTCATTCAAAAAAAAATTAAAAAAAAAAACTATGGAAATACATTTTATTCTTTTTCTTTTTTTTGTACACTACATATGTCCAAATCTTATGGGGAAGTTGGGAGCCTGAGGTCACTTATAACTTCAAATAATGGGCTCTCTACAGGCTGCATTTTGTGTGGGTGGTCAGAAAGGACGGCCTAAAAGCCCATTATTTACCTGGAAAACTTTCCCCATTTCCCCTTTTTGCCAAAACACATATCCACTTAATAGGGGGATTTGATTAGGATTCCAACTTATTAAGCTGAACTTAATCATTGATTGAACAAGAACAGTGAAAAGTAGAAAATGGTCTTCTTATTTGCTAAATTGGGCCGTACAGAAAAAGTAATTGGACTTTGTTCTTTTCCAATTCTGAGGACAAAGCCTCAAGTTAGAAATATATAAATAGTGATCCTATAAATATGATATATATATATATATATATATATATATATACACACTAGAACGTGGTGCACTGCACGAGGTGCGGTAATTTGTAGTAACCCGGTCAGGGATGCATCTAAATAACTATTTTTGTGGAAAACAACAGTGCCTACTGTGGTTAAACATTAGCATCCACCGATTTTTAACCTTCCCTGCAGTTAAACATTAGCAGCAATCAGCCGCAGATACATTAACAGGTTTTCTACTGTGATTAATTAAGAAATAAGAATCATCAAATTGAATGCTCAGCACCCTTTATGTTGAATATATCGTAGAATCTTGACAAGAGAAGACTAAATTGGACTCAAATTTAATAACTATGAGGAAGAAATTTGGCCTCAAAATAGTTTATTCACTCACTTTTACTTAGGGTCTTCAATTTCTTTCTCAATCGACTTGTGTTCTGCCGAAATACTCGATGGAAATTAATCAACGCCTCCTACTATAGTGGTGTTCGAACAAACCTTGAATAATGTAAGGATTGGAATCAGAAAGAAGAAAGAAGGGAGATGGTGTTGTCGGAAAGGGAAGAGCCAAATGAACCTAGAAAGCTGTTTTACTTTGATGATTATCACAAAGCCTTCCGGTTTGAGGAGAGTGGAATGAAGAAACCGACAACCGAAAGGAAAAGTGGAAGAAGATAATGAAGGAAAAGGACAAATATTTGTGAGAGCCAATCGCATGACGACACGTGCATAGGGGGAAGGGCAACCGCCAGGAAACCGTGTCAAGATATGTCATTCCCCCTTTATATTATCCATATATATATATATATATATATATATATAAATAAATTCAATGTTTTAGTTGTATCACGTAAAATGTTATAGTTAAAACATGTGTGATCTACTTTTATTCTGGTATGCAACAGATTTTTTCTGCCGTTCTGCTTTATATCAAGATATGGTAACATCATTGTGTATTCTTAACATAACTTGAATTTTTATTTACCTAAATGACCGTATTTAAATTTTTATCCCTCAAACCATTAATCGGTTCGAATTGTGCTTTTGATGACATTGCTACTTGCCTAATGTAGCTAAAATTAGGTCTCCACCAGTAAAATGTGTGTATATTATGTGGGATAGAGTCCATCCAAAGTTCTAAACCGACCACATAAATGCAACTTCAGATCATTAAACTATAAAAAGTCCTTTTATCAAAACCAGCCAAGCTTAACTTCATCTCAGCTTCTATCCTCCAAAGTCCCAGATAATATCTCTAGTTTCTTTTTGTTCGTCCAATTATTTGTAAGCAATCCACCTTGGAACAACATCTACGTGTTGACCTCTTCAAAAATGTACAATTATTTTAAGGTTTCTCACTAATTTTCTTCTTTGAATATGTTTCTCAATATGGATATGGAGCCAAGTAGAAAACATATCTTAGGAAACCTTAGTGGCCAAGCTATAGACAATAAGTCCAATTAACAAATATTCTTAATTATACAGTTGGTAGTATCAAAACTTCAAAATGACAAAAGCGCCCTCTCTGAACACTATTTTTGATGGACAATTTCCTCCATTTAGATGCAAAGAATAATAACATTTTAAAAGCTGCCTAGAGAAACTTGATTAATGCTGGTTAATTAAAACCATTTTTTAAAACATTAGTTTAACAATTCTTTTAAAAAGGGCAAGTGAGATATGTCTACAGATGCGTGTGGCTACGTTTGTTCTCTTCTTTTTATTTTTGTTTTATTGTGTATTGTAAATGTTGGATAGGTATGCTCTTTTCCTGATGTCTGTATATCCTTCCATTTTTCCATATTAAATAACCAACTATATAACAAAATTTTTGTTCTTTTAACACAATTGTATATATAAGTTATAAAAATTCAATCCCTTTTTCTGCCCTTTTTGCAGAGGAAACAGCTGCAATCTTAATGTTAGGTTCCAAATTAGATTTTTTTTTTTGTTTTTTTAATCTATACAATTTATTAATGGAAACAACAAATTGCTTTTGCAGACTCGGTGTTCCTTTACCAACTTGAATAGATCGACCCTAGTTTGTCATGCAAATTAGAATTACATAAGGGCACTTTACTCTTCAATGATCTGGACACTAAAAGCAAATCCTTGAACAAGATTATATTCTTAACAAAATACTTTTTTCCTTATGTTAGCCAAGTATATTAAGAAACTTGGAGAAGAGAAAGGGTGGTTTGTCAATAAAGCAAAGGGGGGGCACAAACGTCATTTCCAAAATAAGAGATCGACAATCTTGACTAACAAAGTATGGTGGAAAAAGTATTAAAGAGAGCTCAACTTTTAGAGTGTCACTTTGTTTTTCTTTTTTTTTTGTTGCTTTGATGTGTAGAGAGATTAGGATCAAACAATTTAGAGAGATTAATTGAGGTCTCAAATTCTTTCTTCCGAGAAAAACAATGCAATGTTCAAAAGAAACATTTGGTAGGTTGTTCTACAATGCATCAAGCTCCTTTTTCCTTCTCTTCTTCTTCTTCTACTTCACCTCCATTTTTCTTACTAAGGCCTTCAACTTCCTTGGTGGAAATCTTCTCTTTCCAAGGTATGCTTAGTTGTTCAGTTACTATAATATATTTCCTCACCTTTTTTTTTTCCTTTTTATTTTGGCTAATCTTTTGTTTTCTTAAGGAACCAGAATGAATATGAATATGGAGTATTTTCCGACGAAGAGGAGGAAGAAGAAAATAGGGTTTATGATGAAGATTCCATGCAGAAGCATGATGAGTATCATAATCATGGTGATCTGGAAGCCAACATACTTGATGGAGGTCAAACTTTGCATTTTGTGCCCAACAAAATCAGCCAAGATCATGAAACTGATTTGAACCCTGATGAGAATGAGGGCTTGGATGAAGAAAGTGGTGATTCTGGTGTAGAAGAAAATCATGAAGATTCTGAAAATTTGTCTGTTTACGGTTCACCCGCTTTAGAATCTGTCCATCGTGAATTTGAAGAAGAAGAAGAAGATCAAGAAGAAGTGCGTCAAGATTTGATTCCTAGAATTCGAAGAAGAGATGCTGATTCTTCTTCTAATCATCATCGTCGTCATATTCAGACAAATGAAAATGACCCCACTTCAAAGAGGGCTACGAATCATCACCAGCAAACTCGATTAATCAAGGATAACAATATTCATGAAGGTAACTAGTACCATTAATTACAGTACTTTTAGTTAATCATTTCTTCATAATTGTCACACTTTGATTGAATTTAAACTTTTTTTTTTTTGGGTTTTCTAGCAAAATTAAGTGAAGCAAGACTAGTGAAAGATGAGAAGAAAATTGAAGATGGGAATTCAAACAAAGATGAAAAGTTTCTTGTGTTTGCACCATCAAAAATGGAAAGCAAGAAGCTGGCTCAACCTCATCAAGGAAAGGAGAATAACAACAACAACAACAACAATAATATTCTTAATGAGGAAGACATATTTGGGGACACGTGTACGGTCGGATCCACTTCAAAAAGCTCATCGGAGTGGAGAAGCTCAAATATAAACTATAGGGACTCCGGGACCGATGACCCTTTTTCATCATCTTCACGAAGAAGTTGTCCCAAATGGGAGTCTTATTCTGTCTTTCAAAAATATGATGAGGAAATGCTGTTTTTGGATCGGATTAGCGCCCAAAAACTCCATGAAACAGGTTATTATTTCTTTCTATCACTCTATGTGTGTGTGTGTGTGTTTTTTTTTTCCCCTTGAGATTGCAGCTTCGAATATTCGAACAGATACTTAGAGATTACAACTCATTTCTCTTTTATCACTTTTTCAATGCTCTCTCCCTTTCTTTGATCATTCTTTAAATTTGTGTATTTCCGTAGTGGCAAATTTACATACATATTTTAGGGTGTCTGTCGACCCCGCTAGCTAGGATGGTCTAATAAACGAGATTTACTCTTAAAACACTTTTTAAAAGTTAGAAAAATAGAGGGCTGATTTTATTATTTGATACTCAGTTTTATATTAGAAGATTGATCTATGAATAGAGTCAAGGAAGCTCACATGTGAACGAGTTTACAGTTTACAATAAAACTAACGCTTATTAGAAGATATGTTATCTCATTTTCGTAAAAAAAAAAAATTAATGGGAAGAATAATGTTTCTTGATTCACGAATTAATATTATTATTATTATTTTGAAAAGAAACTGTGACAAATAAAGGATCATCATTTTTTGTTTTACAGAATCGTTGAAATCAATACAAGCATGTCCACGATCAATATCAGAGAGGATAATTCACAAATTGGGAACAAAACACAAAAGCTCCGTGGATTTTCGTCACAACCCATATCATGAATTGGAGGCAACATACGTTGCACAACTTTGTTACTCATGGGAAGTTTTGAATTGGAACTACAAGTATTTTCAACGTCTTAGAGCCTCAAGACGGGAGAATGATCCCGGTTGTCCTGCTTATGTTGCTCAGCAATTCCAACAATTTTTGGTTCTTTTACAAAGGTATGTTGAGAATGAGCCTTATGAACATGGAAGGAGACCTGAAATTTATGCTAGGATGAGAAGGTTGGCACCCAAATTGCTTCAAGTTCCTGAATACCGAGGTACCATTTGTTTTTCCGTCCATAAAAAGATCAATTTTGTTAAACTAAAACAATACAAATATATACGGGGAATACGTTGCTTTTTGTTGTGTCACAGACACAGTACTAAACTAATCTAAATTTGTTTACAGATTCAGAGGAGGAGAAAAAAGATGAGAGTTTCGGGTCAAGGATTTCCTCGGATTCATTTATGCTAATCATGGAAGAATCAATTAGGACATTCATGAATTTCCTCAAAGCAGACAGGGAAAGTCGCTGTCGTATATTGGCAGCCTTTTTGAAAAGAAAACATAGAGGTTCAGCAGATGCTGCCCTCCTCCTCCTCTTAAAGAAAGTAAACAAAAAGGTAAATCGCAATAAAAGAGTAAATATCAATTTATTTACAACAATCAATGTAGCTATTCATTTTTGAATGTGATAGTCGAGACAATTGGCCAAAATTAAACACCCTAATATAAAGATGACTCTATGTTTTTCATTGAAACGATAATTGATGTTTGAGTAGTAATTCCAATTATTTTATTTTATTTTTTTTGAACAAACCATTGTAACATTATTTGATCATCTATAGAAAAAGATGAAGATCAAAGAACTTAAACATTCGGGCAACTGCTTGAGGCAAAGGAGATTGAAGCTGGATGAGGAGATGGAGATTTTGATGGCATTAGTCGACCTGAAAGTGGTGTCTAGGGTTTTGAGGATGAGGGAATTAACAGAGGAGCAATTGCATTGGTGTGAAGACAAGATGAGCAAAGTAAGGGTCTCTGATAGGAAATTGCAAAGAGATTCTTCACCACTTTTCTTCCCAGCACACTGAATATTTTTGATGATCCATCAAACAAACAAAGACTGACCCACAATACATATGGATAGAATGTTGCTTTAGCTTTAGTTGATTTGATGATGACTAGATAGTGAATGTGCAATATGATTTAGAGTTTAGAGAATAACGGGGAATGAATATCCCTTTCTCCTTTGACAAACAGTAATGTAGCTACTAGCTAGTGCACAGCTTTTCTTCTCCTTTTTGTGCAATTTTTTAATTTGATTTTTTTTTTTTGTAATTTTTCTTAGAATTAGGAGTAAATAGAATAATCATAAACTACTTGATGATGATGATATAATTCGAAAGTTCGAGAAATAAGTATCTAGTGGATTCTTAGAGTTTTGAAGTCCTTTTTTTTTTTTTTTGAGAATAAAATATTGGATTCTGAAACTTCCTGTTTCAAGGTCAAAATGTTTCATTCATTCTAATATATTAGTCTCTCAAATCTTATTTATATAAGGTATAATTATAATAAAACGAAGGAAGTGTTAGATACTTGGATTCACCTGATTAATTGATCACTTTAGTAGCACACACACACACAAAAAAAAAAAAAAATTAATTAATTGAAAACACACACACACACACACAAAAATACGAAAATGAATATGCATAGTCGTCCCACAAGGATAGATTATCAAAGCAACTTGCATGCATGTGGGAGGGACTACAGAGATTTCAAGATTTATTAGATTCCCATTCCCATATGAAATACAGGAGCCTTCAACTTTAAAAGGTGGGTGACGACTGACGAGTTGGCGAAACATTTTTAAAGTGAATGAATGTTGTTAATCAAAGGGGAACATTACGTACGTGTAAGCTTTACTTCTTTCTCTCTTTTTCATGTATCTTTTACTTTTCTTTTTATAATAGTGGTTTATCAAGAGAGTTTGATAGAGGAGCAGACAATGGAAAAGGCAGCAGTGATGATAAAGTTGAGAAAAAAATTGCACTCTCTCGATTATATGTTAATATAATCCATTTGTGTCTTTGTTGTGGATATTGTGTTTGACTGAGAATAACTCATTCTTTCTTAAATATAAAATGTAGTAGCTAGATCAGAATTCGAAATCCGCCTTAAATATAGAGGTCTTACAAGGAGTTACTGAAAAGGATTAGTTATTGTTATTGATGGTAAAATAAATAATATTGATACTAAAATAAAATTTTAAGTTCTTAAAACATGACAAAAGATTTAGAGAGATGTGCACATTACAGCAAAAAGATCTTAAACTTTGTGGTGGTGATGCCATTTGCCAGAAAGAATTTAATTATGGACTAACTAGAATCTACATTTCTTTTTTACATATATGAAAAAAATCTCTTTTTCCACATTGTGGCTAAATGATAATCACCGTACGCGGACTTAATTTCAGGAAAATGTACTTTGTGGATAATAAGAATTATGGTGTAGAAAATTCTTGAATCAAGATCGTTGTTTCGCAGACTTGTAAAAATTTCCAGGTGACACGCTTTTTGGTCCCATTATTATTCCATCGTCATATTCAAATAAAACAACAGTGAAATCTTCTTTTTATTATATATAGTAAGACTCCGATTGGATTATTGTTTTGATTTGTGTTTTGTGTATCTATGTTTTTGTGACTCTTTTTGGATTGTTTTATTAGTTTTTGTTTTGTTTATTTATGTCTTTGTGTGTTTGAGATATGTTTTTAGATTGATTTAAAAACTATAAGAAAAAGAAAAAAAAAACATTTTTGACAATCACCATTGGCTATCGTTATAACAGTGGCCGGTGCTTCGTGGCAACTCCGCTACTGGAGCGCCGGTCAACGGAAGCAAGAGGCAGCTGGACTTGGTGTTTACAGGTGATGAAATAATATAATGCGTAAGATAACTTGAACCAAAATGTGTGCTCTGTGATTTTGCTTGGCCAAAACAAAGTAAACATAGCCTAAATTTGCTCATGATTATGATACAAAAACACACTTCGTTCGAAAACAATACTCTATATATTCGGGAAAATATCTCTAGACTACAAGGAAAAAATGGATGTCAATTCGTGATTAATTAGTCTTCTCGAGCCTTGGTCATGTCCTGACTAGCCACAACAATATCTGCATCGATCCATGTTGAAGTATCATTGGAGAAGGAAAGCACACTCTTGGAAGGATATTTGAAATTTTGTACTTTGTCCTATATTACATCGTTCTAAAAAATAATCTACATTGAATGGATTATATTTTTATTTTAAGACGAAGAGAGTTATCATTGGTTTGTTATATTATCACAACAGACACTGTTTTTTTTTCCCCACTCTTCAACCTTTATCACCTCAATATATTAGAGCCGTTAAGCTGCTAGTGATAGCCTGATAGGAGTAGAAAGGGGAAAGGGCAGAGATAATAAAAACCGAGAAAGAAAATTTAGTCGTAATCAGAAGAAAACAGATGTACACTACACAAAGCTTGTTTGGGCGTAATATTGGAGGTCGGATCGTTGTTTAACAGAAATAGTAAGGCATTTTCCTTTTCCAAGATAAATTAAAGTAACAAAAAAAGGAAAAATTTGGCTAAAGGGTCGTAGAACAAATCAAATTAATAAAAAATATATGTTTTTTAAACTATTTTTTATGAAAGGCAGTAATTTCTTTATTAAAAATAATAAAACCAATATAATTTTATAATGACACAACTATTCTTATTTTTTTTTATTCGACTTTAACCATTTTATTCCGTATGAGCTTTCTTATTCTTATTTAAAGTGTTTGATTAATTTTTGCAACGAATTCAGCCTGATTTGGGAAAAATAACTCTTTTCATGGGGGAATCAAGAGCCTCAAAGCTGTTGCAATCTACCAAAGTAAGAAAAGCTTTCCACTTCAAGATTTGCTTCAGTTTGCGGCATGAAAGAAGTCTCAACAATATGAGTATGGGAATTTGATTTTCCAACCGGAAAATTAGAGTTTGAATAGGCAAGAAATTAGAGATTGTCCTTGGAATACTCACGCATTACACTAGAAACACACACTTTAAGGCACCCATGGCGGATTCTTCCCATGGCCTGCAAGTTTCTGGACTCAAGCTTATGTTTTGCTCAGGAAAAACTTGGACTTTCATGTAACTCGTGCTTCCTAAAAATTTGCATGATTTCGGTGATTTTTTTTTTCCCCTGAAATTTTAAGCTTCCTTTTAAAACAGATGCTTATGGATTTGGATGAAAATCGATGCCTGTTAATTTTGTGTATTTTATGATTTTAAAAGGGTAATATAAAAATTAGGGTATGTAGTTGTGTCAATTATAAAATTATATTGATTTTGATTTTGACAAATAATTTACCACATTTCATAAAAAATATTTTAAAGTCATATTTTTTTTATTAATTTGAAATGTTATGCAGTCATTTAACCGAAAATTCTCTAGAGAAAAAAAAAATCAAACGTAGTAATTTGTGTGGGTCATGATTTAGTTTTTGGGCCTGCGAAATTCACCGACTTATATAATAAGAATCTAAGAATGTGTATCATCAAATTAGTTCATATGTGCGTGTCACGATCCCGGGACAATTAGGCGAAGAAAAGAAAGAATTAGGAAAGGATTGAAGATTAAGAATCAAGAAGAGGAAAAATTAGGGCTAGAAAGAAGGAAGAACAGAGAGAACGGAGAAGGATAAGATAATTCCAAATCTGGAAATTTAACAATTCTGATTATCGATGAGGTTTACACGTTTGACTCAGGCTCTTATAGTCTGACTAACTATCGAATATTACATCCAAGTCCCTGTACTTCTAATTCTATTTATTACAATCCTGAGGGTGTGATAGTGCGTCTGAAATAACATAAATCTGAACCCTTCCCTACAACCGAAGCTAAAATCTCTATCTCTTTAGAATTATACTCGTAGTAGTCTATTAAAATTTGGGTGAGAGAACCCCAGAAATTAAACCTAGTCAATAAATAAATAGACTTTAGTTAGTCTCCGCTTATTAAAGAATTTGTTGGTTTTATTACGTATAATTTTACTACTGAAGGTGGAATAATGCATTTCGTGACATGCCTTTCTGGTCGCCCTCTAATCAATCAAAACCCCGCTCCACCCGATCACCCCCTGACCCGATTAGTTCCTGTATATTGATTTCCTCCCCCCCCCCCCAATAACGTAATACTTTTGTCCGTAAATAGTGCTTATATGATTCCAACTATAAATTTGTTCTTTTCCCTATGAGAGTTTTAATAAGAATGCTAGTTCTTAATGTTCATATATTATGATATGAATATACTACATCAATTCGTTATGTATGGATGATAAGATTCTATTGAAATAGAGCCAATTCTAATAGACTTATTGGCGGATCTCATTGGCGTCTATCCTGACTTATTGGCGGATCTCATTGGCGTCCATCCTGCAGGAACTGAACCGACGGATTAAGGTGTTAGTAATAATTGCTTAAAAGTGATAGAGCTTTCAATTATGGTTATTATACTCCCTTTGTCCTAAAATTATTATCCAATTCAGATTTTTACTTTAAGTGTACAATTTAAACTAAAGATTAAAATCTAAACTGGACAAGTATTTCGGAATGGAAGGAGTAGTATTTTTTTTTTATATACGAGTAACTAAAAAATTCTCACCGTCGCAAAAAAAAAAAAACAATCTTATAAAAATTCGGAAATTAATGTTAAAATAGAATTTATGGGAGAAAAGGGAATTTTATACATTTAAAAAAACAAAAGAAAAAAGAAAATCTTTCCAATTCCATTAGGCGGTGGCGCTTTAGAGATCACAATAGAGAAGGTTTCTCTACTACAATTCTCTTAAATTTATTTTCCGGATTATTTAAGTCTCGTTTTAATTATGGATTTGGGATTTCCTGGTTGGATTTGAAACGAATAAATACCATATATATAGGGAGAGGGAGAGGGAGGTACCAAAAAATTCAGGTACCCGATTTAGATTAAAGTTAACAACAATGGAATTGGTGAGACACCCTTCACGTCGCTCAATGCTCTTCGGCCTTCCCTCTGCATTGACATCCCCAATATTACCCCTTGAATATGTTAGTCCCGCCTCACTTTAGAATTCTTTTTTCTTCTCAGTTTTGTTAAATTAAATAATTACTTTGAGTATTTCCTGTCTCTGAAATTGATTTTGTTTGTGTTGCTTGAATTGTAGGTGGGAAAGAATATCCCTTTACCCACCCGTCCAACTCTTGATGCTCTCACATCTCCTTTACCCCCTGATGCAGGCGTTAGTGTTCTTTTCCTCTTTCTCTTTTGCTTTTTTTTTCCCCTTACTATTCTCTCTCTGTCCCGAAAAGATAAATAGTGCATATTGAGTTTTAGGATTTGTACAAAACTCAATATGGATTTTTTTTTGGGACAAAGACGGAGAAAATTTGTATACAAATATGTTGATAAAGGTTATTTATTTTCTTCCTCGTATGTTTGTTTGGTGTTTTCAGAAGGATGATTATGTTGTAGTTGAAAAGGGAACCACAACGTTGGGTTTTGTATTCAACAATGACGGGGTTATGGTAGCCGTTGATCATGATTCACGCAAGCTAGTTGACGGAAGACTGTCTATGTCATTAGGTGCGATTCCGGAAAACGTTTGTGTTCTTGATTCACACTTGTTTGCCACTCTTTCCGGAGGGGACAGTATTTTGTGCGAGACTTTGCTGGGTCGATTCCAACAACTGGTAATTTGATTTTCTATTAGGATAACATTGTCAACTCTGTAATTTTTCTAACATTTTTCCTTCAAGAATGATTGTCTAATTCAAGTCGACAGATTTTTTTTTTCTGTTGTAGTGCCAAGTACATAGATCCTTTAGGGGGAGAGAGGTTTCGGCTGCTCAAGCATCAAAGTGGCTGGCTGACATTCTGTCTCATTCCGGTCATAATGTTTTATCACTGATCGTTGGGTGGGACAATAAATCGGTAAATCTTAAAATTAATACTTTCTTCTTTTTGATTTGCCGCTGCAGATTGAATCTTTTAAATTGATGATTGGTTTTCGGTTTCCTCTAATTTTGATCATGATTCATTTGTGTTTCCGTAGGGACCTAGCCTGTATAAAGTGGATGGTAAAGGGCAAGTGTACCAAGATTCAGTCCTTGGCACAGGATCTGCTGCATATTCTCAAATTATTCTTCATCTCAGCTATGCCGCTTCTCTCTATATATCGTACTCCTGTTGTCCCCTAAAAATAGTCCACTTGTAGTTTATGATTTGTACTAGAAAGTAGAAATAGCAATCCGGTTTTTGAAATATCGCCCAATTTTAATTACTGGAATAAGTAATCTTACTAACTCTAATTTTCTGGGATTTTTCTACAGCCCCCCTTGTTGGTTTTGAGAAAACAAGAAAGACAAAGAAACAAGCTTTAAGCTCTGAAAATAAGAGATTATCTGAAGAAAAGAATCTGATGTTCATTGACACATTTATTCAAACACTTAGCATGCCTTTATATAGGCCTTCCCTAAACAACTTGAACGATCAAAAGTGAAAGACCAGACACTAAGCCACATTGAAATAAACTAAAAAAATGAGAGAAAATGACCAAAAAATCAGCAACAAAACAGCAACAAATCAGCAACGGCTAATCCACTTCCAAGTCAACTTTGAATCAGTTTTCAACACTCCCCCTTGACTCAAAGTTGCATACTCTAAGCTTGCTTCGAAAATGAACATGTTTATCTCTTGAAAGAGACTTGGTGAAAATGTTTGCCACTTGTTCATTAGTATTGCAAAACTGCAGTTGAACTTGTCCTCCAGCTACCAACTCACGAATGAAGTGAACTCGGATGTGCTTCGTCCTTCCGTGAAGTGTTGGATTTTCACTCAGAGCAATAGCAGACCTGTTATCGCAGAGAATCTCAGTTGCACCTTCTTGTTCTTGACCAAAATCAGCAAGCAACCGTCTCAGCCACACAGCCTGACAAGCCGCTGAAGTTGCAGCGACATATTCAGCTTCAGAAGATGATAATGCTGTTGTTGCTTGTTTTTTGGAACTCCAAGTAACTGCTCCAGAACCAAGATGAAATAGGCTCCCTGAAGTGCTCTTCATGCTGTTAGAACCTGCCCAATCACTATCAGAAAGTCCCTGCAAACAAAAATCAGCACCTGCAGAATACCACAATCCATAATTCACCGTACTAGCAATATAACGCAAAATACGTTTTGCTACTCCAAAATGATGCTTAGAAGGAGTTTGCATAAATCGTGATACAACACCAACTGAAAATGCAATATCAGGCCTTGTATGAGCTAAATAAATCAAGCCACCAATCAAGCTTCTGAAGTACTTAACATCAGCCAACTCTGTTCCATCACTGGGCTGCAACTTTTCATTCAAGTTCATAGGTGTACAAACTCCATTGCAATTCAGCAAATTGAACTTCTTAAGCATATCAGTAGCATATTTCATTTGAGAAATGAAAATACCATCTTCCTTTTGCAATACTTCAACTCCAAGAAAATAATGCAACAAACCTAAATCGGTCATCTCAAAATTCTTCATCATGCCATTCTTAAAATCATCAACTAAAGTACTTGAAGATCCCATATAAATTATATCATCATCATAGAGGGAGACAATAAGAAACTCAGAACTATCTCCCCTCTTCAAGTAAAGTGTAGGCTCATTTTCACTTCTTCTAAAGCCAAATTGCTGAAAGTAGGCATCAATCTTACTATAACATGCTCGTGGTGCCTGTTTCAATCCATACAATGCTTTTTTCAGCCTATACACTTTTTCTTCCTGGTCTTTTATCACAAAACCTTCAGGTTGAGTGACATAAACTTGATAAACCGACAAATTGTCCATTCAAAAAAGTAGATTTTACATCAAATTGATAAACCGACAGCTTCATAAAAGTAGCAAAGGCCAAGAAAATTCTTACAGTTTCAAACCTTGCAACAGGGGAGAATGTTTCTTCATAATCCACACCATACGTCTGCGCATATCCCTTCACTACCAGTCTCGCCTTATGCCTTTCAATGCTCCCATCAGCATGATACTTAGTCTTAAACACCCATTTCAATCCAATAGCATTTTTTCCTTCAGGCAATTCTACCAACTCCCAGGTCTCATTCTTGTCAATTGTAGCCAGCTCTTCTTCCATTGCCTTGATCCACTCTTCTTTTGCAACAGCTTCCCCAAAGCTAGTTGGTTTAGCAACAAATAAGGCCTGTGAATTTTCATATATCTCCTGCAACGTTCTGAACCTTCTTGGAGGAGTCTTTGAGCTATCTGAGGAACGAGAGCTATTCGAATGCCTTTGTGGACTGTTGCGGGTGTTGTCTGCTCAGAAAAACCAGCTGTCAAAGTTTCATTAACACCTTCATCACCACTTGAAACTTGAGGTTCTGCTACATCTTCACCAACATTCCAATTCTAGCTAGATTTTTCATCAAACTTAACACTTCTGCTAATAATTACTTTGCCATTTACAGGGTTATCATACAACCTATATGCTTTGGAGTGTGAACAATAGCCAACAAAAATACATTTGACTGACTTATTATCAAGCTTACTACGATTTTTCAGAATTGACCAAAGCATAGGAAATACAATAAAAAAAATGTAAATGGCTTACAGACGGTTTGGTACCATTCCAAGCTTCATAAAGAATCTGGTTTAGGACTGCTTTTGTGGGCGAAATGTTCAGAATATATACTGTCGTAGCAACCGCTTCAGCCGAAAAAATATCAGGCAGCTCTTTTGCTTTCAACATACTCTTCGCCATCTCTGTAACCGTGCGATTCTTGCGTTTGGCCACACCGTTTTGCTGCTGTGTATAGGGTGCTGGCAACTCCCTGTGAATACCATTTTCCTCACAAAACAAAGAAAATTGATTAGACAAAAACTCACCACCTCTGTCGGATCGAAGAGTTTTAATCGATGTGTCACTTTGCTTCTCCACATAAGCCTTAAACTTTTTGAAATTATCAAAAGTTTCAGACTTGAGTTGCTGAAAATAAACCCAACTCATGCGGCTATAATCATCAATAAAAAGCAAGAAATACCGACTATCCCCAAAGGACTCAGTCTTCATAGGACCACATAAATCAACATGAACCAATTCAAGAGTTCTAGATGCTCTCCAAACCTTCCCAGCTGAAAACGGAAGCTTACTTTGCTTGCCAAATATACATCCTTCACACAACTCAAGTGACTCAATCTTAGGTAGCCCGCGCACCATTTCTTTATCATGCAACAATTTCAAGCAATTCACATTTAAATGGCCATACCTCAGATGCCATAATTCAGACTCGCTAAAATCTCTAACAATAAGAGCATAATTTTCCACATTAGAAACTTTAAGCAGAAAAAGCTTATTTCCAATCATTTAAACATTAACAACAACCTGGTTGGATTTTTTATCTCTAACCACACAAGAGTCTTCATCAAAGAAAAGAGAATATCCACTAGACATCAATTGTCTGATACTCAACAAATTTTGTGACAAACTTGGAACAAAGTAGATATTATAGAGAAGTTTAACGTTACCGTTTCCACCTCTCAAGACTACAGCATCTTTTCCCTCCACTTGCACTTGTTTGCCATCTCCAAGTGTCACCTTCACTTTGAAAGTTTCATCAAGTTCTCTGAATAAAGACTTTTCTGTAGTCATATGATTTGAGCATCCACTATCCAAATACCAAACATCACTGTCACTAGCTGCATCTTTTTGAAATGCCATGAAAAGCTTGGCTTCTTCCTCTTCTTCCTCCATGACATAGTTGGATCACTGCAATTTCCTACAATTTGCCTTTATATGCCCATATTCCTTGCAGTAGTAACATTGAACATTAGTCCAACGGCCCTTTGGCTTTTCGTTAGCTTGTGAATTATCATACTGCTCATGATCACGTCCACCTCGACCATAGCCTCTGCCAACTCCTTGACCACTATGACCTCCTCTATCCCGGCATCTTCCAGCTGATGTCTCCCACTTCACTTGAAAAGCCTTTTCTTCAACTTTCTCTTCTTACCGATTCAATCTCACCACATGAGACTGCAACGATCCCATAAGTTCATCAAATGAGTACACTGCCAAGTCCTTTGACTCCTCAATGGATGATACAACATGATCAAACTTGGCAGTCAAGCTCTGTAATATCTTTACAACAACGGTTGGATCGGAGACATCTTTACCGTAGGCTCTCATTTGATTGACAATTGCTCAACTCTTGACAGAAAATCCTGGACTGATTCTCTATTTTTCATATGCAAGGCTTCAAAATCACCGCGAAGAGATTAAAGTTTCACCGTAATTACCTTCGAAGATCCCTGGAAAGCCATCTGCAAAGTTGTCCATGCTTCTCTAGCAGTATTTGCAGCTCCAATTTTGGAGAAGATTGACTCATGAACTGCTTGTTGGATGAAGAATAATGCTTTTGAATTCTTCTTATTGTTCTCCCTCAACCTGCTTCCTTCATCCGATTCTTCATATCAATTTTCAACCAAGTCCCACAGCTCTTGAGACTTGAACAAGGTCTTCATTTTTTATGCTTCAAAACTCATAGTTATCACCTTTGAACACTGGAATTGAAGGTTGCGAAATACTCACAACATTGTCTTTAGTTGCCATGGTTTAAAGCCCAGTTACAAAAGAACCGTAGCTCTAGAGCTCTGAAATTAAGACAGAGAAACAACTTGAACGATCAAAAGAGAAAACAACTTGAACGATCACAATGTTGGTTTGAGAAAACAAGAAAGACAAAGAAACAAGCTTTAAGCTTTGAAATTAAGAGATTATATGAAGAAAAGAATCTGATGTTCATTGACACATTTATTCAAACACTTAGCATGCCTTTATATAGGCCTTCCCTAAACAACTTGAACGATCAAAAGAGAAAAACCAGGCAGTAAGCCACATTGAAATAAACTGAAAAACGGGAGAAAATGACCAGAAAATCAGCAACAAATCAGCAACGGCTAATCCACTACCAAGTCAACTTTGAATCAGTCTTCAACACCCGTGACAATTTGTCTATGACTGAAGCTACGGAGTTGGCAAAAAAGGCACTTTGTGTTGGTGCATATTCCGCTCATGAAACTGGTGGATTTGTTAGTGGTATGTTTCTTTTGATCTCCAGGCCACATTCATTCTAACATATGATGTTAATTACTTTTAACCTGAAGATTATATGGTCCATTCTAGTTCTTATATATATTTTATTATATAAACCCTCATGACTTTCTTGTATTTCAGGTTTCCACGTAGGAAGTGTCGGGATTGCAAAGATGTTCATTGGAGCAGAATTAGGAGAGTGGCAAGAGGAGCATTACAACAAATTTTGCACTTTGTCAGAATGGTAAAAGCTTTGCATGTCATGATGAAAGCTGAAGAACAATGATATTTGTACATGTTTTATATCTTTAATAATAGTAGCGCGTTACGACTACTTTTGTGGACCAGTGCATTTTTTGGGTGTTTTGTTACTTTTGATTTTCGTATCTATGCTATCTATATATGCAATAGTTCTGCTTTTGGAAACTTTGATTAGAATGTACTCATGGTTAATTGTTGTAATAGTTTGGTTAATTTGTTTGAATGATTCCCAAAACTCATGTTTTGCTGTGGAACCCAACTCTGGTTCCCAACGGGCGCACGTACGATCGTGATCTTCTTCCACCAGGGCAAATATACTCTCTCTGTTCTAGAATTATTATCCAACTTGAGTTTATATCTGGTTGAACTAAAAATGTAAACTCAAACTGGACAGCAATTTTGGGACGGAGGAAATATAATTTATGAAACATGAGTATTGTTTTCGGTAGGATGATTGAGTAGCCCTGTTGAATTCCTCATATAGTTGTCGTGTCACCTGGAACTAAAGGGAAACTTGGATTTGTGCACTAGTTAATTAATATCCAGAACCATGCGTACAGCTAATAAACTCATCCGATCAGCTGAGAATTTGATGACGGTACCTAAAACATCCTCTTTGATCAAGATTCTTCCTACCTTTTGCTGAATTTCATTGAGGCTTCTAAAAATTTTATTGATAATCATCAGGTAGCTCAATTGTATAACGTGAAATCTAATTCATGCAAATACCTTCCATGGTCTTCCCCTAATTACTTAATCAAATCAATGGGGCCAAATGCCATCGGAACACTTTGTAACCATGTTCTCCATTGGGTCATGATACTTTTTTTTTGAAAATGTGATAAGTGATACTTATGAGTTGGAGTTTACATATGTTATCGTGTTTTCGATCTTAATACGGAGAAAAAATGCATGGCAGTATCCCACAACCTCCTGATGGGACTTCAACTGCATGTGTATGATTTGGGGGGTTTTGAATGGCTGCTTATGCGCAATGTGTATACACAGGATTGGTCCAAAAAAAAACTTAGTGGATAACAAAAGATTATGGCGTCAAGATCCTTGTTTTGCAGCCTCGTCCACACTTTGGCTTGCTAAGGCTTCACGGTCTTGAAATTCTACCATCCTATTCAACTAAAATTAATATTAGTGAGATCTTTTTTGGGGAGACCCGAGGGCTTTGTTTATAATGATGATATACAAAAACATTTGGTTCAAAAATACTCTTATCTATAATAGACAACATGTTTGGGATGCAATGAAAAGAGGATGTCTCTTGATCAAAAGTCTTGTCAGTGACCGAACTAGAACTTTCAAGTTGGAGGATCGAAAGGAAAAAGTAATTCTCACTTGTCGAAAAAGAGTAATTCTTACATGTACTAAAAAAAAATAATAACGTAAAAAATAAAGTTCATCGACAAAGTCATCTCAAGTGGCTTATTTCTTCTTTTCACTTGCTAGTGATGGTATAATTACTTTTTTCCTCCCAACTAATGTATTACAAAGACGAGAACAAGTGGTAGCAGGTAATTGTGATCTTCGAGGTCCCATGTCTTGAAACTGCTGCATAATTGCTTCATTATCAACACTTGCAAAAATTTCTTTCTCAATGTAGCACACCAACAAATCAGTAAGAAAATCATCACCCATCTTATTGCGCAAATCAGTCTTAATAAACTTCATTGCGGAGAAAGACCTTTCGACAGTAGCTGTTGCAACAGGCAAAACCAAAGTTAACTCGGGAAGACGATATACTAAAGCATACATAGTGTGATATCCCTTTACAATCATCTTCTTTGCAAGTTCTCCGATGTCATGAAGTCCATAAAAAACTTCATTCTTTCTCACATTCTCAATGTACCGGTTCAACTGTGTTCTTAAAAGATTTAAATCAGAACCAACAAAATCTTCAGGATATAACTCCGCAAGACGTACTAACCTTTCACTATTAAATTTGCTAAATGAATCCTTAGGATCAAAGCATGCTATACACATAAGCAACTCTGAGTTTGTCTTTGTAAATCGGTCATTCATTTCATTGAAAAGAAGATCAACAACTTAGCATTATAAGAAATATATATAATTAATACTTCATAACATGAAAAACAAATGTTACATATTGTTAATTTCAATAATGAAAAATAACATACCTGATAAAAAATATCTGCCTGATAACGATGGCGTTAAGTCTACGGCTCATCATCAACTGTTCTCCTAACTCGGCCTGGAATGATATCTTCCATATTGGGCACACCAATCTCATTTTTTGAACAAAATATGATGACTTCTTTCAATAACTCCTCCCATCCATGATCCCTATACTTCTTCAAATCATACTTCACATCTTCAATCAATTGGACAGCATTGCCTATATTTTGATTCTTTAATTGCAAGGCCTGCGAAAGATCATTTGTCTTTTCAAGTAAACTCATCATCAAATGAGCAATGAACACAAATTCAAAACTTTCCATTTTCTCGGCCAAACTCAAATCATTGCCTTTAATTTTTCCATCGCCTTCTCTAGACAAAGCAATAAGTACTTCTCTTACCGGAGTCCACAACTATAAAAGTCTATGAATTGTTTTAAAGTGAGATCCCCAACGAGTGTCACCCTAACGTGCCAAGCTCATTTCTTTATTTTTTTCCCTTTCCCGTAGAAATTTCACCCATCTCTATACGTGCAACGTAATCATCATATTGCATTTGACGAATAGCATCTTTCCTTTTACATGAAGCTCCAACAATATTCACAATCATACCAAGATAATCAAAAAAGTATTTTACACTAGAATGCTCCGATGAGGTAGCCACGACAACTAACTGTAATTGATGAGCAAAACAATGAATGTAAAATGCAGATTTGTGTTCATCCAAAATTTTTTGTTTTAGTCCATTAAACTCACCTCGCATATTGGATGCCCCATCATAGCCTTGTCCTCGTAGTCTAGACATAGTTAATCCATATTTTGCGAATAAACCTTCAATAGCACTCTTCAAAGATGATGCACAAGTGTCACTAACATGGACTACCCCAAGAAATCGTTCAATCACTTCTCCATCCTCATCCACAAATCTCAAACACATAGACATTTGTTCCTTTGTAGAACAATCATGAGCCTCATCAATCAAAATAGAAAAGAATTTTCCTCCAATCTCATTCACAATAGTATTTCTCACCTCTGTAGCACATGCATTAACAATATCCTTTTGAACTTTTGGTGAAGTCAATTGGTGATTTCCTGGAACATTTAACTTCATCACCCTATTAACTTCCTCATTATGCTCACAATACCATTTAACAAGTTCAAGAAAATTACCACAATTCAAAGAAGTTACGGACTCATCATTTCCAGGGAAAGGCAAACCTTGTTTTAGAAGGAATCGAATCACATCCACTACCGCAGTCAACCGAATGCGATAATCATTCTCATGCTCTTTAGTTGTTTTATGCCACGTATTCACCAAATTATGCCTTTTATCTTCAAATGACTCAAATTGAACTCTAGCATTATTGTGTCTACTATCATTACCCCCTTCATGATCTCGAAACTTTTAAAATGCCTTTTTCCAATTTGAAAAACCATGTTCCGTAAAGTCATCATCTCCATTTTTATTACCGGTAGGGAACAAATAACACCATAAACAAAATGCGGCATCTTTCGATGCACTATACTCTAACCAACAAAAATTATCTAACCATTTTTCTCGAAATCTTCTCAAGCATCCACTAATATTTCTTTGAGGAAAAATTTGTCCTCTTGGTTGAGAAGGGCCTTTTGCTAAGTATCTACTCCTTACTTCATCTCGAATGTTAACCGAATAATCATTAATTGATTTACGCAAAGCAGGATCACCAATAATTTCATCTTCACATAACTCAAATTCTTCTCGGACCCTTTTACTATTACCCTCATTGACATTCAAATTATTCGACGAAGACTCAATGCTTGGTTTAGGCTTCTTGCTAAAAAATCTATCCAAAGAAACATCCCTAGATGATAAAAAAGAAAATACAAGTCAAAAATAAAAAAGAAAAAACACTCCTTAATCGTTAGCAAACTAAAGCGCTTAATTATATTATACTTCCCTATTAGTGAGGAAGATTAACAAGACCAAAAAAATTAAATGCTAAAAAATACTCTAACTTTCTAGAGAACATATCAAACAAACACACTAACTCACTAAGTGAAAAACTAGACCACAATTTATAAAATAATCTGCCAACAATATTATAAAGTATTATACTAAACCCTATAATAGAATAATAGAAAATTGAATAAACAAAAGAAAATAAAAAAGCTTACTTAAGTTTATTAGCCATCAAAACTTCAGAGGAGGACATGAAGTCTGATTAGATCTTCAATTTTTGATCAATTTTGCAAAAAGCATAGGCATTAGGCGCCGCAGGAGCTTCTGAGTTCTGAAGTTCGTTGTCCTTTTCTTCTTTTTACAAATAAATTTCTGTTTAATTAAATTTGAGAGGTACATCCGACGTCTCGTTTTCTTCTTCTTTTGTTTAATAAATATTACTTTAGTTTAAAAGCTAAAATTTAAAACAAAAAAAAGCCTTACGTGAAGCCCAGGTTCTGACTTAAAAAAAATATTTGGGCCACAATTGACTTTGTTATTTCATATTTGTGTTGGAAAAGAAGCCCAATGTCATCTTCTTCTTTGAGACTTCACCAAACGTATTCTTGCAGCGGCAGCCGGGGGGGTCAGCCGGAAAAAATGAAGGCCACCGAATACCCCCTATTAAGGGAAAATTATGCCGGCCGGGGGGTCGATCGACCCCCCTGTAAATCCGTCACTGAGTCTTGTCGAGCCTTGATCTTCTTATTACTAGCCATAACACCTGACTGTTGGCTCTCAATTTCTTAAAGAGACTTTTGTATTTGATAGAGCAGAATTATTAATGCATAAAATGTCGGTATTCTCTATGTCTTAACATGATTATCTAGTTTCGATTTTATTTTAGTACAGTGAATAA